ATCGGTATTTTTCATTGGTCGTGCGAGGGCAGCTGGAAACAATGAGGTTCAAAGTCTGCACAGCCGCCGGCTGCAACACGAAGTACATCGCCTGACATAAGATAGATGCGTCCTGGTAAAATGAAACGAGTAGAAGTGGAATTTTGTCTGGTTTGCAGCAAACGACGCTCAAAGAACAATTGCACGATTGATTATGCATACACACACGCTGTTTTATTCAAAAGAAAAACGTTGAAATAGCATCATAGCCTCCGCGGCACAACTACTGGTATTTATGTTGACACCAGCGAAAACCCCCACCAAACCTTTGGCCGAAAAATGTGGTATGTTCATTAGGGTGAAGCAAGAATTCATGTTGTTTGTATTCCCTTGCCTGCCACTGCCTTGGCCTCGTGTAGCTTCGGAGGCGGTAGAACCGTCCAGCGCACGATCACTGCTCGCCCTTCGCAAGGCACTCACGAACATGTAGGAATGATATGACTGAGCAGCATGACTACGGCCCAAACGATTTCAGTATCCTCGCTCAATCTAGAGTGCTCGCGGTGATGCCGCCGCCAAACACATTCACTGTACTGCTGTACTGACAAACAAATAAAAATATCCTGGTTGGTGATTCATGTTCGTGATAGTTGCTGCTGTGTGTGTCGACAGAGTGACGTAGAACAACTTGATTGGACAGTTTGAATTGTGGTACTGTCTGCGTTGAAGATCGCTGAGTAGCCGCAAATTATCAGAACAGCAAGGAACGTTCTGTGGGAATGTTCTTCGTGGATGGTACACTCACCGAGTGTGTTTCTTGTGGATAGTGCATCAGTCAGAGGATTCATGGTACGNTGGTACTGTCTGCGTTGAAGATCGCTGAGTAGCCGCAAATTATCAGAACAGCAAGGAACGTTCTGTGGGAATGTTCTTCGTGGATGGTACACTCCCCCGGGTGTGTTTCTTGTGGATAGTGCATCAGTCAGAGGATTCATGGTACGTTGTGAAGTACGTTAGCCCCTGTCTGTTGAGTCTTTGTGTTCCGATATCATTATGTTCTGCTTTTGTGCGTTGGTCGAGCGACATGAGTGGTGCTGCGGTGCTGCTGTGCTGCGGTGTTAGCCCCACCCTCGCTCACTCCACCTTTTGACCTGTTCTCCTGGTCCAAGGTCTCATCAATACGACATCTGACTCTTTTCCCCAGTAGCCACGAGTTTACCAACACGTTATAGCGAATCAGTCGACTGCTGCTTGTCCCCTCGGACTGTACGACAAGACTGAACGGAGAAAGATTGATCACCTTGCATCGTGATGAGTGGGCCTGCTGGGGATCATGTGGATGACCCACCTCCGGGTGATTCGCAGAATGTTTTTGGTGGTGAGAGATTGGATTCGATTGAGACACAGTTGTTCCAGCTCACGACTATAACCAAATCGTTTGTTGGGCAACGAGGTGATCAGAATGAGTCCTCTGTTCCAGTAGCTGCTGCACCCGGAGGCGGGGGAACATAGAAAGCTGGTGCGCATCAATCGGATGTCACTGGCAGGACTGCGAGAGGTACGGGCAGCAGTGCCCTAGTCCTTGGCATGTCCAGCATGTGGGTTGGGAGTAGTTAGTTTTAGAGACTCAGGCTTGAACCTTTGTGTGAATTTTGCAAGTCGTTCCTCTACTGGTGGTGTGCCAGCGGCGGAACCGACGCCGGTTGGCATCCTTCAGATGGTGCTACTGGCAGAAATGCGGGAGGTACGGGCAGCGATGCCCCAGTCCTTGGTATGTCTGGTAAGCATCAATCGGGTGCCACCGGCGGGAGTACGGGAGGTACGGGCGGTAATGCCCCAGTCCTCGGCACGTCCAGCGTGCGGATTGGAAGTAGGAGTCTTAGTAGATTCAGGCTTGAACCCCGATGCAACTGATGTGAATCGTTCCTCTGTAGGTGTTGCAAACTTTGGTGCGATTGGAATTGGAAGTGCGACTTTGGGTAGTCAGTCTTTCATTCCAGGAATGGTAAAGTGGGGCCTTAGATAGCCAGCCTTCCATTCCGCCCCCATCTACTCCATCGGGTGAGTGATGGGGACGTGTCGCCAATGGAAACAAATATATTCCTGGGGCTGGCATTTCTGACACAGGAGAGAAGTTGGGTAGGAGTCCTTTTAAAGTTCCCATAGCTCCTGTTGTTTTTGACGGGACTGATGTTGTCTCGTATCCGTTGTGGTAAAAAAAATTCGGCTGCGTGCCCTCCACAATGGTCTATTTGAAGCGTTGTGTGTGTCTACGCATGAGATTCCGATTGCAAGCTTTGAATTCGACGTGACCCCCTCGGTACAGCAAAAATTCAGTGTGGATGTGTGCTGCGCCAGGCAGAAAAGAGAACAATGTGAAGTGTGACATGGTGCAATTTTCTCAATCAGATTGAACAACTCGCATGATCTCACGTATCTGGTAGCGTATTACGAAGNAAAAAAAATTCGGCTGCGTGCCCTCCACAATGGTCTATTTGAAGCGTTGTGTGTGTCTACGCATGAGATTCCGATTGCAAGCTTTGAATTCGACGTGACCCCCTCGGTACAGCAAAAATTCAGTGTGGATGTGTGCTGCGCCAGGCAGAAAAGAGAACAATGTGAAGTGTGACATGGTGCAATTTTCTCAATCAGATTGAACAACTCGCATGATCTCACGTATCTGGTAGCGTATTACGAAGTTATTCTGCTTGAGTGCTTGTCGAATGATGATGCTGTTCGCAAATACTCTTATTCGTGTGAGGAAGGACAGATGTGTCGAAGAATGGCGTAGCGGACACGATTACTGCTTTCCACATGACAGACTCTCTCTCAGCATTAAGGATGTGAAGTCTTGCTTTTAGAAAGCATGAGGGATCATTGGTGTGACTTGTGAAGTAGCACTGTCTGGAACCCTGGAGTAAGTGTTTGTGATTGGTGACAGCGAGTGTTCAATATAGTCGGAGAAGGTTTGTGCAACCATTTTTCTCCCAGGGCAGTGTTTGATGACAAGTTATGAAATAGCCTTGGAGGTCTTGATGGTATGATGGCTACTTTCGACGGAACAGTTATTTTTTCAAAACTTGGATGGCATGGTTGTTGCTATTGTGTATCGTCTGGGTGATAAATATATTGGTTCGGTGTTAGCTGCCTTCACCCCTCTAGACCTCAAAGCAACGAAGATGGATGTGAACGAGTTTCATAACGTTTATGGTCATCCACATGAGGGATTGCTTCGAACAACTGCAAAGCGACTGGGTACTGAGTTGACTGGTGAAATTCATGCGTGTACGGGATGTTCGATGTCGAAGGCATTCAAGAAAGGGGTTGCTCATGAAACAAAATGCAGATCGGACGAAAGTTGGGCAGAGTTTTTGTTGACGTGGGAGGGCGGAAGGACGTTGCGTCCGTAGGGGGTAAGCATTACCCCATGATAGTGAAGGATGATTTCACAAGACGTATATGGATGTATTTCCTGAAAAGTAAATCAGACCTGCGAGTGCTTTCCGGAGTTTCCTCGCAAGTGTGCATGCTGATGGTATCCCATCATTGGTTGAGATTGTTAGATCTGACAATGGCGGGGAGTTTTTCGGAGGAGAATTTGCGTCCGTGTGCAATGAGCTCTTGATTGAGCAAGAGTTCACCCCGGCTTACAGTCCCCAATACAACGGTGTTGCAGAGCGTGGTTTGGAATTGATTGAGGCGGCGGCAATGGCTGCCCGTATTCAGGCAAAAGTTTTGTTTGGGCATGTGCAATTACCCAAGACTGATAGACTATGGGCTGAGGCAATGCGCTGGGCTTGCGAAGCAAACAACCACACAGCATGTTCCGCTAACCCCGATAGGAAGTCGCCGTATGAGATGTGGCATGGTGAAGCTAGTCCTGCTAGACAGTATCTGTTTTTGAAACCGGCTGACTGTAGGTGGCAGCGACCGTCCAAGCTGCTGCCGGGTGAGGCTTGCTTTTATGTCGGCCCTTCGAGAGACTACCCACGTGACTGTCATAGTGTACTTGCAAGGGTTGGAACTATTCAGGAAACGAGGAATGTGACGTGGGAAGCGTTGCCGTCACAACTCCCTCCACCGCAACCTTCTCTCTTGCCGATTAGGGTCGCAGAGGAGGGAGGGGAGGAACGTGACAACGATTTAGAAGATGAGGTATGGCCGCTTTTAGGGAGAGGAGTTCCCCACATTCTTTTGCGACGTAATGTAACGGTCTCTGGTGGAGCAATCGATGAGGTTGGCAGTGTTGATGCAGGCAGCGTAGGTCAACCCCCTCTGTGCCATCTTCGCCCGCGATTGATTCCCCCAGTAGCACAGCCCCCCCTGTGTCTTCTCTTCTGCAGACGAGTTCACTGATGAGGAAGGACTATTGGATAAAGCTGACCATTGGACTACGTGCACAGTCATCCGATGTGTTCTTTGTGTTGGGAGTGTAGAGCAGCTGGGCCATGACGGGCCGTGGTAGGGTAGGGACGTGTAGGAAAACGTGTTGTAAAATGTATTGTGAATTTATCGGGGGCGTGCTTCAGCTCGTCAATCGGTCACGGCATGGAGTCACGGGTCACGCTCATCACGCTCAAAGCACCTAACGAATGTCCATGAATCTCCACCATGCCATCACACTCCCAAGGAAAGTATGAAGAAACTTCCTGTTCCTCCGCACTCGTCACTACATGAATACGTAAGATATCACCCACCATGCTATGCTACGAGTATATCTAATAAGGACAGGGAGGGCCGGAGACAGGGGAGGCAGAATCGGCGGGTCCGGGAGAGCAGGAGGTAGAATCGGAGTCATTTCCCCATGCTACGCACGTACCATCTAATCGTCGTGCGCGGCATGAGCTTGCTAGTTGCAACAACGCTGCGAATGAGAATGTTGAAGTCAGAGAAGGAATAACCCGTGCGCAAACTCGGGCAGTGAATTAGCAGAGCGTACCCGGCCTCATGGCCACTCTAGGACCCATCCCCACATCAGAAATAAGAGAGGCACTCTAGTGGAACAGAGAGCATCTGATGCAATGGAATCGCCGAAAGTGCTCATTCAGGACGGAGAGTCAGAACCGAGTAGCTATAATGAAGCCCGTCAGTCAAAATACTCCTCGATTTGGGACAAGGCAATATCTGCAGAATTTGGAGGCTTGTTAAGAGCAGGAACGTTCGCGTTAGCAGTAAAGATTCCAATAGGCTGTAACGTGATAGATGCGAGATGGGTCTACAAATGGAAAGCAAATGAAACAGGCAAGATACTGAAGGCCAAGGCTAGGCTTGTAGCGAAGGGCTTCAAGCAGAAGCATGGTGTGGATTATTTTGAGACTTTCTCGCCTACTGCACATGCTGCATCGATTCGTTTGTTGGTGGCATTGGCGTGCAAGTATGATTTGGAACTTCTCCACCTTGACATTGAGCAAGCGTTTGTTCAGTCGGAATTGGATCACGAGGTGTTCATGAGGTTGCCTCCTGGCTGCGATTCGATGACAGGAAAGGTAGTTCGTTTAGACAAAAGTTTGTATGGACTGAGACATAGAACATTTCACAATAGACTTGTGTCGGACCTGAAGAGGATTGGTTTCGAACAGTCTCTGTCAGACCCGTGTTCTTCGTTTCATGATGGGAGACGAGGTGTTGGGTATGATTGCGATTCATGTGGATGACATTCTGTATGCAGGAATTGAGAGGCTTGCCAAGATGGTTGTGGAAGCGCTAGGTGACTCTCTCCCCACGAAGAATTTGGGCGAGGCCAGGTTCTTTCTTGGTTGCGCATTCATTCGCGACCGCGAGGCTGTTACGATTGAGATGTCTCAAGATAGTTACATCAGCAGTGTTCTTGAAAGATTAAATGTTTGACGCACCAACTCGATCCCTGCTTCCCCTGCTAACGATTACAGGTCCGTGATGGAGGAGGAGGAGGCAGGGGGTGTGCCGTTCCGAGAGGTGGTGGGGAGCCTGATGTGGATCGCCAACCAGACGAGGCCCGACATCTCAAATGCTGTGCGGGCGGTGGCGAGGCACTCTCACGAGCCAAGGAAAAGCCACTGGAAGGCGGCCCAGAAGATGCTAAATTATCTTCTGGAGACGGCACATTAAATTTTGAAGTACAAGCNAAGATTCTAAATTATCTTCTGGAGTCGGCACATCTAACTTTGAAGTACAAGCAGGACACTATGGTAGATGTAGGCACCTTGGTGTACGTAGACGCAGACTTTGCCAGTAAGGCCACTGACCGTAGATCAGTTTCGGGAGCACTAGTTCTTGTAGCTGACTGTCTTGTTGCTTGGATTTCTAGGACGCAGGAATGTGTCACACTTTCAACAACTGAAGCAGAGTATGTTGCGATGAGTGACGGTGTAGAAGAGGCTCTGTTTGTCAACGGAATGCTCGAGTTCTTGAGGCCTAGTGATAGAATCGGTAAGATTCNCCAAGCAACAAGAATCCTCTCAGTTCGTGTAACAGTAAGCACATTGACGTGAGGCACCACTTTCTCAGGAATTTGACAGAGGAGGGAGTGTTGGAAATCAGGCATGTCTCTAGCGAAGGACAGCATGCGGACATTCTGACGAAGGCTCTGCCGAGAGATCTTTTTGAAGTTCATCGTAATTTTGCTCTAGGCTCGAGATCTGAGAAGTAGAGGTCCGAGTTGTGTTTTATTTTGGTTGTTTTTCTGATATATATTTGATCTGGTCGAGACAACAGCCCCAAGGGAGGGTGTTCGTGATAGTTGCTGCTGTGTGTGTCGACAGAGTGACGTAGAACAACTTGATTGGGCAGTTTGAATTGCGGGACTGTCTGCGTTGAAGATCGCTGAGTAGCCGCAAATTATCAGAACAGCAAGGAACGTTCTGTGGGAATGTTCTTCGTGGATGGTACATTACCCCGGGTGTGTTTCTTGTGGATAGTGCATCAGTCAGAGGATTCATGGTACGTTGTGAAGTACGTTAGCCCCTGTCTGTTGAGTCTTTGTGTTCCGATATCATTGTGTTCTGCTTTTGTGCGTTGGTCGAGCGACATGAGTGGTGCTGCGGTGCTGCTGTGCTGCGGTGCTGCGGTGTTAGCCCCACCCTCGCTCACTCCACCTTTTGACCTGTTCTCCTGGTCCAAGGTCTCATCAATACGACATCTTTTCCCCAGCAGCCACGAGTTTACCAACAATTCACGCTCGCATAGCTCACACTGGCGCGGCAGATGGCAGGCCTGGCATGTGTGACAGCATACCGGCAAACAACCTCAATACGACAGGACGAATACGTTCGACTGAATATGCCATTGTTCGCCCCAACGAAGGAAAAGTTCAACCAGTGAGACATCTACTGTACCAACTGCAGCTTTATTGTACCGAGTGTCATGTTGTAGGCATCAGTCGAACCCACCCTAGGGCTAATTGCGCGAGCCGAGCAAAAATATTCAAGTAGCGCGCGCGGCGTATTTGACATGGAGGAATCGAGTCGAACACGCATGAGAAAACGAACGAAGGTGATTTTTCTCTAAGATAAAAAGAAATCGGGAATCACCAGCAGCGCAACACACGCCCTCCAGGCGTCCTTGCCTCACCTGGAACAAGACTCGAACATACTCGGTCGTAGAACTGGCACACGAGCTACATTGCATGTAGATGTGCGTGTAGATTATGAGAAAGGGCGTGGCCATACGGACATCACTGCCGCAGAAAACACCAAACGTCATCGATCCCACACTCTTGGCTCTCCGCTGATCCCATGCGTGTGTGTTTCGTCCCATCTGTTCAAGCACAACAATGATCAGTCTCGTGCTTATTTGTGCAGAGTTTGCCGTACACACGTTCTCGTCTCCCTCCGATACATGTAGATACGCCAAGCAAACTGGGCCTGCCACCAATCGCGGCCTAGGGTCTCTCTTGTCTATCTAGACTAGAGAGAGCATGATGCTCTGACCCCGTTTGCCGTTTGCCGAGACATACGACGGAGAGTCGTTTGTCTTCACTAGAACGAAAAGCACTACCTCCTGCCACCGTTGCAACATTTCGATGGCTTCGGCCTCCCGGCCCCACCTAAACTCTGCCTCGACTTTCCACCGTCTGTGCCGACCTTGGGGAGCAGAGTTGAGCACATTGCTGTCACAGGTAGGTGAGGAGCAGCTCCGTGCGCACGTGAGGGTGTGGGGATGAAAGCCGAAAAGTCAGCAAAAGTATCATCGTGTTGCACAGCCGTTCGACAATCAAACAACCAGCCGACAATGGCAAGCAGAGGTGCATTTTGGTTCCCTGCACACTTTCCTGAGGCACACGATGTAGTCTAGGCGCTCGTCGATGCTGTATTGTACGATCATGCGTGACAAGGAATTCATTCACACGGGCGACCATCTCGGCGGGTCTCGAGTTGGGCTGGGTGGTGGGCCTGTGTTGGAGTGGGCTAGGTTGTTGCTGGCCGCACGGTGGACCTGATAAATGATATCGGTCGGAACATGTTGGGTAGACTCTGCTGCGGCCGTCATGCCCACCTGGGAAATGTTTATTGTGAATTGAGTGTGTGCATGGCGGAAGCCGCTTTACAGAGGGTGGCCACGCCAAAGTAGAGTCGAGGTGACATGAGGCATGCCATTGCAAATCGTTCAGCAAGACATGACATGAACCCTTTTTACCGTTGGCAGATGAGCATGCGTTGTTGATGTGATCCCGCATGCATATCACATGAAGGTGATTTCGTCTCAACTAACAATTCAAGCACGAGACACACACAAGCGGGGAATCTCTTCACGCGCACGTCAAACAGCACGTCAACCTTCCTCACTAACAATACTGTAGCTGCCATCGAGACCTGTGTTCGAACGTCAAACACACGCACGCCCAAACGATGGCCAAACGCTGTGGGCTTTTTGAACCCGCAAGCACGTTTCAATGACTACTCGATGACGGAAGGACGAAGGCATCGAACTACCCGCCACGTGTGAGCGAGAGCCTCAAGTTGAGGGCGGTGAGTCACGATGTCGACCGTTCGACGAATTCAGGAAAGAACATGTTTCTCGCAAAACCTCCAACCTAGTTGCACAGAAGACGAGGGAAGGCGAGAGGCGGTTCGAGCAAGGCCGTGGAGGAGTGAAGTAAGCATGCAACTCGCCGTCACCCACATCTACAGTGTCCACCCCACCATCGCAACCCATCGAAAGCCTTGTCAACATCTAGGCGTGCAAATTTCTTCCAACAAGAACATCCGGCACCATGGCAGCCAACATCACCCCTCACAAAATCTTTTCACACAATCTTTGCTCCAGGGGTCGAACGGAGTGAAAAAAACGGTCGCTTGGTAACCAATTTACAACATCTTTCGTAATGTCACATTCCCGCTTGCCTGATGTCATCTGTTTCGTCGAAGAGATCGTGGTAGGCCCCACGAAACAGGCGATACCCAGCACCCGGAACTTTCCTCCTGAACCTTGCGATGCTGTCTGAACGGACTAGGTGGTCCAGCCCAGCCTCTAGCACCAGAACGGGAACCTGACAGATAAACACGCAAAGCCACAATAAACAAAACAATAAAAGAGTGAAAACGGATCACCGAAACAGCTTCGAAAAAGACAGCAACAGGACAAAAGAAAAACAAAAACGATAGAAACACACGAGTTTCGCCCGCGGACGAGGATCGATGTGAACGTGAGGCCCAACAGCGATGCTCATTGTTTCTTCACACCGGCAGACAGGCACTGTGGGTGAGGCCAATGGCGCACTCAGCAACGACTCGCTTCCCCAGGTGCGACCGAAGTTGCAGGGTGTAGCTCCCTCTGGGCAATATTTCGATGTTCGCGCAGGGCGAACGAATAGCGCAGCTTTTCTCTATGTGAGGAACCGGCCGAACCGTTGTCACCAAAGGCGCGAGCGTGACGGTCGCCTCCATTCGACATAGACTGTCTAGAAATCACCGTCCTCAAGGAGCCAGACAAGGTTGGCGTTGCCCTACGTAGGGCGGCATAACTTCAATTTTGGCCGAATTAAAGACAATCATGTCTGGAGAAGTCGGAGGAGTGAGAGCCGATGCTGGAGGAGGGGATAAGGATTGCAGAGGCCGGCGTAGGCGTGGATAGTCCACGCATCTCGGTGGACGAACCCGGCGCGGGGGGTTGAAGACGAGTGCGTGCTAATCATGGCCTTCCCTCTCTTGTTTTCCTGTCCTCTCCGTTTTTTGTGTAGTCCGAAGAGCAAAGTGCCAACGGGTACAACTTTCAAGCGACTTGGCGGGCTCTGCAGCCGGTTGTGTTCTGCGCAGGCGTCGACCTTTGTGATTGGCTCCCGAAACATACTACGGAGCGCACGCAAGGAGGAGTGAGCGCGTTAGGCCGCGACACTAAGTACCGTATAGTCGGAGAGATGGCACCGGGTGCGGTCGTTTCATTCAGCGTTTCTTCCTCGTTTTTTTTTATCGCACCCTGGTGCCATCTCTCCGACCCCGGTGCGGAAATGCAATTAAATCATTCCGCGACCATGGCGCTCCGCCGACACCGTCCCCACGTGCAAAAGGCGTCACATGCACCTCATTCCGGCAGCCCAAAAGGAGCTCAATCTTGGAATTAGGGGTCGGTGAGAGCGCACCCGGTGCGATGTCACCGGCCCCGGTGCGAAAATCGAACTAAATCATGCCGTTCTTGTATTTTCTTGCGCAACCTGGTGCCATCTCTCCGACCAATTCAGTACCGCATGATTTCGCAAACTTCGTCAAACTTTGAAAACGTAGAGCGAGCGGTAACAACTACTGGTACGACCTCTGACCTTGCACAGTGTTCCCCTGTCTCTCTCTTTTCAACCCTCCCGCGCTCACCGATAGCTGATGGAGTCGGCCCCGAGCGCGCTTCGAAGCCACCACGGATTTCGACAACCAGGCAAAGCTTGGTCCCCGCTGGAGCACGCAGCCAACTATGCCCCGAAGGGTTTCCCAGAGACGGAGGCGCTCTTTGTCGTGCGTCACCCTGGACCACTCCATGCTTGCCCGCGCGGGTCGCCGAATGGGGCTCCTGCACTCCCGTCGCGTTTGGGACAGCACGCGGGGCGCGGGGCAAGAAGAAAGAACGATTCACGCCTTTGCACCCAACACTTGCGATTCTTGTCTGTTGCGAAGCTCGAGAGGAGCGTGGCGACGATGCTGCGTTAGGCCGACATGGTGCTCGACAGCATCTAACGACTGCCGGTAATCGTGCCACACTGGGGATGACTCGCTGGCGGCCGCTGCTCGCCGCTTGCTGTAACGCTAGGTGGACCAACTCAACGCAAGCCCGGACGCGGATGTCCGTACAAGGAGCGGACGTATCTATGAAGCCAAGCCGGTCCGATTATGGATCGACGAGACTGCTGTCGTTTGTGATGGCTTTCGCAGCGAAGAAAGCCGTTCTCACCTGTGCCCCTGTCGCCCGAGCTTTGTCACGACCCAGGCAAGCGCTCCTACGACGCCATTAGGTAGTTTTCCGGTGGTAGGCGCCAGCATGGGAGCAGCCAGAACAAGCTTCGCGAAAACATTGTTTATTTTATAGCCATTTACACGTGGAAGATGTTCAACGCGGGGGGTACACAAGAACAAAGTGAAGTTAACCAATGCCATGCGCCACATTTCCTAGGCGTTTTGTAAATATTACAAGCATTTTGGAAGTTCCACACACGATACATGCACCCAAACGGAAGAGGTGGATGGTACCACGGAGACGAGGACATAATTCGAACGTTGTCGCTGTGCAAAAAGGTGCCCACGCTGTGCCTCTATGGCGGAAACTACCCTCACAAACGAACCTCAAACACTAAACGCGGTACTACTCAGACTTCAGGGCAGGAGGAACTTCGAAGAAACGGCATCTACTCCAATATCGTTGGACCGGGTCTGCGTTGAACCCCACCAGCGCGGAGTACACCCGTGTCGGCAATCGGGTGTATTCGCAGTTCGGTCGGTTCTGCGAGACCCCGATAGCCCTCATACCGATTTTGTTTTCATTCTGGGGGGAAGCGGGGCATCACAAACGCAACACCTTTGATTCGACGCACTGGCGCGCAACACGATCACGCACCCGGTGATTCTCGAAATTGCACGATGCCACGTTCTTCGAAACAACGACGCGAGAAAAAAATGCGATTTCTGTCTCACCCCGTCGAAGAGCTCAGGCTCTCGCAGCGCGGCGTTGACCGCTATCAGCCCACCCATCGAGTGCGCCACCACCGACAGAGACAGCGCGGGGAGCGTTCCGTCAGAGCCGAGGAGCTCGCCGTTCACAACGGGAGGGTCTCCGCTGCCAGCCGTTCCCTGGCCGCCGGTTCCGGTCCCACCGCTCGCGTCGCGCGGCCGCACAGTGGCGGGGAGAATCACCTTCGAAAATCGTACCAGGTCCTGTACGTAGTGGTCGAAATCGCTGAACATGTGGAGAACGTGCGCACGCAGCGACAACGTACACCAAGTAAACGTTGCCGCCGTATTGAGTAAGCGTACCAAAGATTACGCGGGTGGCATAGGTCTTAGAAACATGTTGTTCGCGGGGAACCTTTGCGAGAGATAGCTGAAAGGAGACGGAGACAGAGACGATAGGGGACGAAAGGATGGTGCCAACCCAGGTCACGAGTCATGCATGAAGATGCGGACTTGCATCACTCTGTGGTCTTGCAACCGACAGCTGTTTTTCTATTCTAGATCCCATCCGTCATATCATAATGCAGGTTCCACACCCTGTATATCATAGTACATGGGTTCCGTAGCTCAGTGGCAGAGCGTGCGACTGTTAATCGCGAGGTCGAGGGTTCGATGCCCTCCGGAACCGTCTTTTTTACCTCATTTTCCGGTGGTGATGATCAATACGGACAAAGTGGGGAAGGGCGGAAAGGGGCCTTGGATACCTATGGGTGCACGCGTACATTTTTGCAACAACCATGATTTGTCCAAAGGGGGCGGAGGAACAATTCTATACGCCATGTTCTTCTATCAGACGAGAGTGTCGCATGTGTTCCTTCAGGGAGCGGCTTGAGCTTGAGAGGTTTCAAGTTTGCTGGCCATTTGGAAACGTCAGTCACGACCATGCCGAAATTGTTGCGCAGCGGGTTAGATGAAGGTCTGAACCTTGTCTATCGTACCACATTCTGCCCGCCTACTTGCGAATGCAGGCTGTAGGTGGTGGGATGTTGTTTTGCCGGAAAAACGACAGCAACAACGGAAAACATATCAACTTGCAGCGACCTATTTAGACGCATATGCTGAGGTCGCGGCGCGCTCCTTTCGCCGATGTACATCACGCTGCACACCCCTTCAACGCCAACGTCTCCCCCACCCAGGGACGGCAAAATCGAACAAGAGCAACCGCACTGGATTGTCAAAAAGAACGCGTGGTTTTTTGTTGGAAGCCAAGAGAGATCCTGCGCTCTGTTGGTTCATGAATTCGGCAGCTGTGTGGAGGTGTGCTTTCGGCTCCGTGGTGACTCAACCCGTTCTAATCGGGTTGGACAATCGGCGAGTCTCCCTCTTTGCGCCTCGACTACGACACATTACACAACGCTCAATATGTTGCCCATTTCATGTCGTGGGGGTGCTGGTGGGTGCGGCGACAGGGTGGCGGCCGCAAACGTATCCATCCGGCCACACCGTTTGCTAGTTCATACAATGGCCAGCATATCGCATTAACAGGTGAGCCAAATACCGATGTCCGCGCCCTCTCTTACGTGATGTGAGCGACCGTCGGGTCGGCGCCGTCCGGAACTGGAAGCCGCCCCGAGAGTCCCTGGCCGTAGTGGTCGTATGTGTACACCGAGAACCCCCTAAACAAATACACGAACGTCACGGCACAAAAAAAACAAAAAAGGGTAACTGAGCCAACCGGCGCATGGAGAGATGACGGCGGATTGGCGAGTAGTGCCATCTCGGAGGTGTGCCCGGCTTCAAACTCCGGATCAGGATCAGCCGAAGAAATAGGGCAACTTGACGCGGGGACGGGGGGAGTGCTTGTAGGAAGGAGGAATACTGCACACCTTGCGACGGCCCCTGTGATCCCTTGGGGGATCGTTCAACTGTTCAAACAACGTCATGTCGAACCCGAACATCACAACGCAGTTTTACAAAATATGCGAACGAGTGAAGCTCTGGCCTTAGGCCCATGTTGATGGTTTCCAAATCTTTATCTTCCCTTCGTTCGACAAATGTTGGCTTTTTCGACCTTGTGGGCAGTCTGCCTCCCGAACGAATGCGAATCAGCTGTTCGACCTTTGAGAACAGTCACAGCTTTGGCTGAGAGATGTCTACAGATCGCTTACATTTTTCGCCAGGGCCCAGGTTTGATTATTTTTCAAGATGTGCAATTTTCACGCAAGATTTTTCCAACACCAGCTTTTGGACAGATCTTGGCCCAAGATTTGCTCCGAGGTGGCCTTTCGGCCGAATCTTCAACATCTTGCTCTGCTGGAAAAAAATCAAACGTGGACCCTGGCGAAACAAATAGGCGGTTTGCATGCATTTCAGGCAAAGCTGTGACTGTTCTCAAAGGTCGAACAGCTGATTCGCATTCGTTCGGGAGGCAGACTGCCCGCAAGGTCGAAAAAGCCAACATTTGTCCAAAGAAAGGAAGATAAAGATTTGGAAATCAGAAACATGGGCCTAAGGCAACGGCTATCTGATTTGGACTTGATGATTTACCTCGTCGGCAAGCACGTGCTGCGTGCGCAAGTGCGAGATTTGCGCGCACAGAGGGGGTATCCCTCGCGAAGTGTCTCGACGGAGAAAAAATAATATACAACCGACCGTGGGTAGGCAGACGTCGTCGCAGCACCTACAGACCGCACCACGCTAACAGCGAAAGCGACAATAAGAAACGTCACCACACCAATACAACCAAGCGTGAGCACAAATATCCGGCTGGACGAATCCCGACTACGATCCAGCTCGCCTGTCATTGAGGTGAGCAATCGTCTCCCCGTACTTGATCATCGACTCCATCAATCCTGTCAGAAGCACCACACCCGGCTGAAGCTTCCCACCCCCGTCTCCCTCTCCCTCGGAGTACTTCGGAAACCTGTGGTGATAGAAGCAGCAACGGACAGCGCCAAGCGCCACCAAAGGAACAGTACGTGAGGCAAGCACTGGCGTGGGGTAGGGGGCTTCGTGCACGGCATGGTGTATATCGATTGAACAAGCCCCGATTAGGACATGAATTGGCAGAGTACCTCTGGGAAAATGCACGCTCTCTCAATAACCTTCTGCACACTGCGGGAGCATAGACACGCCAGAGCTTCCCGCTAAGCTCGGACCAACACCCGCGGCAAGGCGGTCTTCGAGGGGCGAGTAAATTCCTTGAGTGCTGTACGACAAAACGCCAGAGTGTGGTTCTGTTGTACCTCACCAACTTGTTAGGACACGATCATTCTGTCAACAAACCTCCCGAACAATGCGCCACCTGACTCTTCACCGGCCTTCTAGGATTGAGTTTAAAACCTCTTTCTAAACACCAGCGGTAGATGATGAGACCGTGATCTGACTCACAGCCTGTACCGCACGGGAACGCCAGCGGCCCCCATGAAAACCCCGTCCGTTCCATCGCGAGAAAATCTTCGAAGACCTTCCAGCGGCGCCGATTGTGCCGATAGCTGTTTCGGCCCGGCGGCGGCGGCGGCGGCGGCGGCGGCGGTGGTTTCCGAGGTTGATGAGGAGGAGGGGACGGAACTGTTGTGAATGTGCAGAGGGGAGGTCGGAGAGAGAAGGGGGGGGGTGAGAGGAAAACTGCGTCGGGTCGGTGGACACCACGTATCAGCTTTGCGTCAGCAGTCTAGGTTCAATTGTTGGTGACGTCGGAACTGAACTCATTTGCCGTCCTTGGTGACCGGCTTATCGTGAAGATGCCATCAAGGTGCGTTCTACAGCGCACGAGCCGTACACTTCTGTACGACGAAACAGCTCTCCACAATTCAGTAGGACCGGTGGTAACACCACATCACACAAGGAGCCGAGGGCTGTTGATTTGTTGCTTTGCGACGTCGTTCTCTCCGTGCATCTCCCGAAGAACGGTACACATGCTCGATTCGGCAACAAACCTTGAAGAGTGATACCGGCCAAAAGGTGCGCCGACAGAGCAGGAGCACCACGGCTGACGATTTAATGGATTTGGAATCGTGCAAAGAGGGTGTTATCCCAACATAGAAATGCATCGGCAGTCGGGAAGTTTCTCCACTCACCCATGTGATGTTGCATCTTCGGTCCCGGCAAGGAAGGCGGCCTCACATAGCGCTAGGACTTCTCGAAGCATGTCATCTTCGACAAATGCGGGCAGCCTTTGACGCAACTGCTCTTGCTTCTCCTCCCCTGGTATGCCATGTCAGCGGGGGGGGGTTGCAGGTTGGTCCCCCCGACTGGTGTCAAATATGAGAGTACCAGGTACCATGCGGGCGCCCAGAAGAGATGGATTACACGCTTTTTTGGGTTAGCCTGTGAGCACGGAAGGTCGTCGCTCCACGTGAAGGGTGCGTAAGACGAGGGTATGCTGGATGGAGGAGGGCAATATTGACACTAATCGACACATCAAATAGAAAGTCAGCTTTTAAACTATTTACAAAAATGGCGAAGCAGCAGCACCTAAAACTGCCATTTCTGCATGAGTCGAGGGAGGCTACACTCGACTGTTTCGCACTTCGCACGTGCACGTACATAAAGTGCCCTGTCCGCGATGCGAAACAACTCTTTAAAAATGCATGTCTCTCACGCCCATGCTGCGTCACAACTCGTTTTATTGATATTTGTCTGGCCCGGGCTGGTGAACCTACGTTGAAGGTACTCAATATACGCTACGTACCTAACGTAAAAATACGTTCATTCAGCGTACAGATGTGATGATGTACAACATAGTCTATATAATACATGGGATTTTACACAACATCGTTAACAGTAATCTTAGTTGGAGTATCGCAATGTCTTGTGCATCGCCGAAAACCGCAACACGCTGGTTACATCTTCATCACATATCGGTACACGCGTCCAAGCTTCCTGCTGCTAATTCATCTATTCATGACCTCCCGCGAGCAAAGTTGTCCCGAGAGGAAGCTTTTTGTACACCAAACCAACCGGGAACCCGACTGCCGTGCTATGCCAGAGTGCCACTGGTGCTCTGTCCAGCGTCCAACTACTTCTGCACATGATGCGGCGTCTGGGCTACGGATGTATGCGAATTCGCCACCCCCTGTTGGCGACTGGTGCATGCATCATAACCACGACAAATGGTACCTGCGGTCACACTGAGCCCGGTGCTTGCGGACGGGGGCCGGATCCTGCTCTGGGCTGCGTGAAGTATGTTCCTGGTGCTTGCAGTGAGTGCGTACGTCCTGCCAGCATCGGAGAGGAGGATTGCTACAGCAACGACGCAGGATCGCAATAGCCGCATGGCCGTGTGGGTCTGTTAATACCCAGCCGCCACCCGTGTGCTCCTGTTGGGTACGGGTGTGTAGAGCGTGTTGCTGTGGGCGTTTGCTGTGCTGCTGCTGTGCTGCTGTATTCCCAAAATCGACAATAATCGGAATTCGTGAGCGTGTTGGTTTGGTTCAGGTCAGCCGTTTCAAGAGCAACATGGTGCGCTTTTCCACCGAACATGGGCAAGGCCTTCGAGACGTTTGAGAGTGCGTGAGCGTGATATATACAGTAGAATTCCTCGCGTTGACGTTTTTTGACACCAATAGGAGGTGGTGTGTTTATCAGTCATGCAGTCGAGGTAGCAGCCTGCAGGCACTGCTGAAGCTGGGTGGTGGTTGATGACATCGGCTTCTTCGGACAAGGGCAAAGCAGCAATGTCGGCGTCGGCAGGGGAAGAAGGGCCCTGGGGGCACTCCGATATCTTCCGTGAGCCGACGGATCCGGAAATGATTGCGTACCTTGGGCGGAAGCGAGAGTCGCTACAGAATAAGGTGAGGTGGATGGGTTTGTACAGCCTGGGTTGTACGTAGGCGTACATTTTTCGCCTTTGCTCGTGGTAAGCCGACTGCCCAGAGCTCTGCACACCAAAATACGTTCGGCGTCCCGTGGGTCGCACAAGATACCAGAGCCCCAGGACCGATCTTCATAGCTCTATTGTTTTGCAGCAAACGCAATGACGGTGCTGAAGATAGCGCGTTGGTGCGGCCTCGTCGAGAGCTTTCCGAAAAGATCTCATTTGATCTTCTTGATTTTGGAGGATTCGCGCTTTGAAGTTCGGTCCGGAGGGTGTGGTGTCTTGTGCCACCCACCGTAGTTGTAGTCGACATGCTACCATGATGTTCGCCGCAAAACATCATCCGGGCCGCTCGTATAGCTTCATTCAACTAGATTTGGATTTATGGATCTGAACTCTTCAGTTGGAGAAGAACCGTGGCCGCGGGGCAGGTAAACACTTCCGAGCGATAGCATGGTGCACACTCGTAGCGAGACAACTACACCATGCTACCGGCGCGTCCAGATTACAGAGGCAGCAGCAGGGACGCAGACACAGCATAGCAACACGAATTCGTTGGGAAGACAAACAAAGTTTTTGTGTCAACCTCATCCCGTTGGAGCATCGCAAACTCACCAGTGCTCAAGTTTGACGCTTGGCAGACACACAGATCCCTTGCGATAAAGGCGGTGAATCGACAGCATGCTGAAGTCCCTTGTACTTAAGGGAGAACTTTCAAACCGGGGGAAGTTACGATATCACGACAAGCTGTGTACTAATTATTGCGAACGAAAGCGCCGGGTGCAATGCACCTGGTTTGCATGCGTGAATGTGACTCGATTTTCCATCTAGTAGAAGTCGTCGCTCCCTCGTTCCACTTACCGTATCTCTATTTAAATTACGTTTAACCCAGGGTCAAACAGCGTCGGTTGTAGTGAAGGTCGCGTCGTTTTCATCGGGAGTTCTTGCCCTTTGCAGAAGAACCCCATCGATTTTTGGGACCAGCAACGGTCGTGAGCTGTCCTTACCCTTTTCATCCCCCCCACTTTCCCCTCCAGGTGGTAAATGTTGCCCAGGGGATGTCGATCGGACCAGCTCTGTACCTGTGGACCCACCGCCTGACCTGTGCGGACGTGGTCTCTGTGGTGACTACCACGCGTCCTTCTACGAGTATTTCAACGATGACGACGACGCACAAGACAAAGTACATTGCTGGCGGGGGGTCGCCAGTGGGCTCTGTCGATGGTGACAGGGGTGTTCTTCGCCGGGGACCTCCATTTGACGGTTCTTTCGGGAGGCTAGAAGGTAAAGGGAGGATGTATTCTAAAATAAGCGTCTTAGATTCACAGAGAAAACTGCATGGAATCTGGAAAACACTTTAGGCGGCCCAAAGCGGCCGCGTGCTGGGAGCAGTCTACCGTCGGTTAGAGGCACTCCCAATGATCCAAGCGGAAGCACTTGGGTTTCAGCGTACAGGTAAACATTGATGACGGGTTTCGTAGCTTGAACGTAGGAACTTGTGAATGTTTCTCCACTGCGGCGACCGTGATTTCCACGGTTGGGCTTGAAGTGTGGCGATCGATGTGACCGTGTTTTATCCCGACAACTTGCAACAGGAGGAGGGAAAACGCCCCTTTCGAGGCGAGCTTCCGGAAAGTGGACAATCTTACCCAAGAACAAAGAGGCAAGCGGAGAAGGGGGATTCATGGCCGTCAAGGGCGGAAAGACCGACGCGAAGCTCAGGAGACTCCGAAACGAGAAGAATCTGAGGGCTCCCCTGCATCTGCCGCTGTTCACAAGCCCGCTTGAGGTCGATCCCACCGGCTCCGGCAAGGTAGGTTGTGCTAGGTTGTGGCGCATTGGTTGTATCGCTGATTTTGAGATCGGGACGAAGTTCCAGCTTTGGGTGCAGCGCTTTGAATGGTGCCTTGTTCCCGGAGAACGCGCAATACCCTGTTCAAAACAAACCTAAGCCTTCACGCACGACAGTTTCTTAGCAGACAGAAAGCGTACACTGTGCTTCAAATCCTTAAACATCAATCTTCATAATGTCTGCCTGTTCCGCTTTCCTGAAGACGCAACACCACGCTCTAATCGCGCGCGTGACGTCTGTCTTGTTGACGGCTCGACGTTTGTTCTTGGACAACCCCTCTCCCCGAACAACCCCACACAAAACCCACCACACAAACGCAATACAATACGATGCAACAAAGGTTCACGATCGAATGAGTGAGTGTCTCATGGCCGAGCGTGAGCGCTTCATGGAGCTGTTGGGGAAGGAGAGGCAGGAGCGAATCCATCTCGAGGCCTTCGCGTGTTCCCTCGTGCAGGCTGCTTTTCGTGGCTACCTCCTGCGAAAGAGGTACGAGGATGAGTTGGGTGTGGGGAGGGAAAGTTGAACCAGTAGCCAACTTTCTGGCGTCCGGTTCAACATCTTTCCGCATCTTTCCGCATCTTTCCGCATCTTTCCGCAACACCCACGGCAATGTTTCCTCAAACAGGAAGTACACAGGCGGAAAGTGTTCGTTGTACTGTTCCGAGCGCCTGCGCCGTCGAAGTAACACGCATCCTTCGAAGCTGCACGTTGAAAGCCTGTGGCCTGACTCATTCTCAGATAGAAGTGAGGAAAGGACTTTGTGTTGAGCCCCTAGGTATCTTCGCCGAGCTTACCTAACCCTATCCTCAACTACAAAGAACCACCCTTTCGAGGGACAAACCGACTTTTGTGATGTAATCGACACCCCATAAGAACAACACTAGTTGTGACCTCTGGCTCGACCTCTCACGAAAGCTTTGCAGAGCAGAAAAAACATCGAAGGGAAAGTTAAAACATCACCGGAGTACTCGAGTCGAACGAATTCACGTAGTGGTCGACCAGTAAATGAAGCCTTGAAGAATCGTCTATTTCCGCCCACCCATCGCGCGCTTCACTCGAGGGGAGGGGAAGCGTCTCCCTTGTCGCTTTCGTGCCAGCCACCACAATGAATGAGGATGCGCTGCACAGCCTTCAACATGAAACATAGGCGACAGAAGGTACCTATGATATTGGTGTGTGAAGCGTGATGACGCAGACACAGGGGGCTCGCGTCACCTGTGCTGCTGCTGCTCCTGTTGCCTCGGCAGGTGGGTGGAGGTGGATGCGAGGCAGCGGGTGCGACTGCGGGTGCGGAAAAGCCTCCGCGATTTCCTCAAGAGCCGAGGGGCTCCGTTTGCTCTCGGGGCGTTGGAAAAGCAGCAAAAAGAAGATAGGTACGCATATCTAATCCAGCGCGTGAAATTGTTTCCCCCAACAGGTTGTGTGCATGCAGTCGACGGAAATATGCACATCGTTCAATGTAAACGTAATTTTTCACTCGAATTTTGTTGGTGTACGTTTTGGTCAGGCTCAGAAGTCGCCGTTGGTGTGCGACGGCCAAGCAAAGTTTTACGTGCAAAGCTCAGACGCGAATAACCTGTTCCCGGGGATGATGAAATCGATCCCTCGCTCTGCCTGTCCATTTCTGTCTTTCAAACTATACAATCGCTTTATCGGTTTTTCTCAGCCCATCTTGTCTCTGCCTGTCTCTCTGCCCGTCTCTCTCTGTCTCTCTTTCTCTACTTTGTGTACCCCACCGTACTATCGCGTCACACAGGCTGCGCCAAGCGGCAGCTTGCACTATCCAGGCGTCCTTCCGCTGCTTCCTCGCACGGCAGACGCTTGGGAAGCGGAGGTTGGCGTCGTTCTTGCTCCGAAGGAGGAGGGCCGCGAGGACCCTGCAGTGCTGGGGTCGATACCTGTTTGCATCCCGCCGGCTACGGTGTGTTGTTGTTGCTGTTATTGTCGTTGTTGGTCGATACACCCGTGGCTACTTGGATGAAGCTGCATATCGTGCGCTGGTTCGAAAACGTTTTCAGGATTACGCGAAAGGGTGCTGCGCCATCCTCACAAGCCGCATATGGCGTTCGCAGATCGAAACAGGCCTGATTTCGCACACAACAGTTGCACCACGTGTTGGCACTACTCGGTCCATGAAAAGTCTAACAATCAGCACAACCGCAGTAACAAACCCATTCATTCGTCTGTTCACTCTTGGTGTTTAGTTGTTTGCTAATCAAGAAGGCGCACTGTACCGTGGGTAGTTATGTTGGGTGTAGCAGTGTTGGGTAGAGAACTGGTGGAGTGGCTCACGAGCTCGAGAGCATGTCTCGGATCGTGTTGTGCCCAACCCTCTCCCGAAACCATTCGACGATCGTGCAGATATACCCGTGTCCGGGCGCTGGCCACGTCCCGCTCCAGATCCGCAGTGCTGGTCCAAAAGCACTACCGCCGGCATCTAGGAGCACGGTACGGGCAATCGCCGAGCAATATCTCGTAAAAACGTTCAATCCTCGAATAACATGACACGAGTTCACCACATCCCGCGTGTATCATTGTTGTGGCTGCGCAGATACTCTCACTGTGCGTTTGTTGTTCTGTAACCCCCCACCGCTCGTCATTGCATAGACTGCAAAGGTTTCACTCGCCTACAGCAACAACTGGTTGTCTTTTTTCTCTTGTTGAAACATCGGTTCTCTGCCGTAGGCCGCACTTGTAGACAGAAACCAGGACATCAGTTTTACGACCGTACCGGTTCCCACCCTTACCCCCGCGAGTGTATGCGTTACACGTGCATATCCGAGAACGCTTTACGGCTATCAGTGAACACACGTTGAGGCTTTCCGTTTTGCGCTTTTCTTGTCGCCGAATCGAAAACAGGGTTACGGGCCACAGGAGGCGAGTGGTGCACTCAACCGCAGCTTCTATGATACAAAAACGATGGCGCTTGCGAAAGGTATGCATCACAGATGTATAGTTTTCAGAGAGAGCCGACACGGAATAAACAATGAGTCATATAGGAAGAGGAACATGCATTCCATATAATTGCATCTAATGGAGAACTACCAGAGTTCCTTCCTTAAGACTTGTGAATTTAGCCTAGGGATGTTTGGTCGCGCGACGACATTTCCTAGGCATCGGCTAGAAGGAGCCGCCCTTGAAAACGATTCTCTGTGGGAGCTTGATGTATTCTCGGCGTTTTCATTGGTCCTGCAAGTACCGACGGGGTTGGGAGTATGGAAGATGCCAATGATCCGAGTCCTTGTTAATGTTCCATCCTGCATATGTGCAGCAAGGAGGCAGCTTGTTTGTTCTTACGGATATACTGATATCCGTGCTTACGGATATACTGATATCCGTGCAAACATGGGCTCATCGGGTCTCATTCGACTCAATTGTCCGCTCGAAGTTGTGGACGTACGAAGTATTAACAAGGCTGCTCGGGTCTCCGAACCTTCCGTCCTTCAACCCAATGACGTGGATCGGTGCCGCCCAAAATTCCAACTTGCATGGTTGTCCTTGGCAAAACAAAACGTCGTGCTGAAAATCGGTCGACAGCACAACTTGGTCTACATCTGAGTCTTGCCGTCGATGTTTCGATCAGCAGTCTTACGGTGGGAGCCAATGGTCGGGCCAAAGTAGCGGTGGTGGGTGTCACGCTCGAGGTGGTTTCTCGAACCGCGCATGCCGCCAAAGCGCATCACGTAGTCCGGCCCTGGCTCAGGCCGTTGTGCGCTTGTACGCTCTCTCCCTCGGCCTGGTGTACTCACTCGCGACTTCCGGTACAAGTACGTCATGCTTGGCGAGTACAGTCTCGTTGGGGTTGTCCTGTGATCGCTTTACCGGCCTTCGTCGTGTCTCGCCGTTTCTGCCTTGGTTGACATAGACTCTCGAACAGATCCAAGAGGTGACGAAGTCACGCCTCTTCAGGTCGGCGGCGGCGATACAGCGAATCGTCAGGGGCTACGTTGCGTGGAAGAAGGTAAGCGGTGACAACAAGCAGCAACAATATCTTTCCGCTACTTCTGCGATGAAAACATTCACAGGGTTAACGACAATAGTGATCACGACGGGGGCATGAACAACACTATTCCTCCGAACCGGCACCAGCTCCACCACCAACACCTCCAAGAACAACAACAACAGCTTCCCAGAGACGAAGAGCAGGATGAAAAATGTTGTAGCACTATGGCAACATTGACAACAATCGACAAGTTTTAGGGAACGATTGCTCCCATGTAAGGGACGCCTTGTGGCACACTCATGCCCCGAGCCCTGAGCGTCTGGGACGCCTCTCCCTCGTATTGCATAGACCCATCCGCCTGAACATAATATATGTCTTGTACAATGGCGGAAGAAATAACGTGACGTTTTACAGAATCCATCTGGAACTTTGCCACGTTCTTCGTCACTCTGACCTTTGTTGACCGCGTGTCGACCATGTGTTGAGGGGCATAGAGCAACGCCGATGCATCAGAGAGAGAGCAATACGCAAAGAAACGAAAATGTCAAGACTTATCGATCAATCGCTGAAAAGAAGACGGGCAACACAAGATTGGGAACTTGAACATCCCAAATGAAATGGCCTGCATGTTGAACAACGAACAAACCTACGCGCTTGAATTGACAACAAGGTCGGGAGGCAGCTCACGAGAGTTCGCGGCCTGAGAAAGACCAGGGCCGTGTACACCCTTCAGAAGTTTATCCGCCGCGCGCAGGTGACGACCTTGAGCCAAATAGAGAAGCCACGGTGTCGGATGATCGTCAATTTGGGTGGAAAGCTGAAAAAAGGAAGCTATTTGTCATTACGACCACATCGGTGTTGATCCAGTTGCACCTTATGTCGCTCTCGCCGTGGTGCTCTGTTGCTGTGTCGGCAACTGAGGACAACGATGCAAGAGGCGATACCGCGGTTAATGGTGGGTGGGAGGCCGTCCCTGCTGCCGATTGTAGGGACCCTTGGCAACAAGCCCTCGAGGGGATGCACGTTGTGAGGGGACATACGAGACATCTTCCCCACAACCGCTGGCCACCAAGCCGTTGCTAGTCCAAGGAACCCACTTTCCGGGCATGGTTGTCCATACCCTGTAGAGGGAAGCTCCCCCCGAACAACGTATTTCCACAGCAATGAGGTATCTTCGCTCCCCTTCTCCCAACGCAGCCACAGGTTGCGCTTGGACCTTAGTACCAAGCAAGGTATGTTGAGGAAAAGCGATCCCTCCAGTCCCTACCCAACGGCGCGTCGCGCCAAAAGAAATGCCACTGAGAACTTGTTGGGTCTATGACACACGCGTGGCTTGTAAACACGCATGTACCCCAGGCACGTCAGAGAGTGCGCCGCCTACAAAGGCGCCGTCGACGTGGAACTCGCGCAAGGGCGGCTCTGCACGTCCAGCGAGTCTGCCGGGGCTTCGTGGGGCGCAGGCGGGCAGCAGCACGGAAGAAGGCTGCGACTCTGGATATCTGGCGAGCAGCACGAGAAGGTTGCGATTTACGGTTACGGTTACGGATACGGTTACAGTAGGCAGCAGGTTCGAGACGGAGCCCATTGCTGTAGGAAAAGGTGCACCCACAACCGTCAATTGCAAGGCCCAAAGAGATATTGAAGTCCTGACAGTGGGAGAACTGTGGCGAACCACAACGAGGTGCATCCCCACCTCCGGTGCTATCAACCGGCCAACTCTTTTATCGGGCGCGTGCGGGATTGCCCTGCTCACTTTGCCTACCCACCCGAAAGGAAACGCGTCTCGGGTGGACGCGCTCTACTACGGTCAAGGTCTCGGAGGCGTGATCTTCGACTGCCTCAACACAAAGGACCCGGAGGGGAACTCCCTCCTTGCCAAGGTGGCCAGTGGGGTGGGGCCTATTGCACTCATAAGGGTGGTGCTGAAGTGGGGCGCGGACGTAAACTCGGTAAACATCCGGTAAGATGTGCCAGGGAGCGGGGTTGTAAGAATTTTTGCTGCGAGGGGGAGGGGAGAGCCAGCGCGTCGGTAACGAATATTTTTTCATGTTTTTTGTTTGGAGGTCGGTCGTGTTGTGGAACTCTTCCGCCTGCTCCCATGATCCAGTTTCTCGTTTGATATCGAGGGAATGGAAAATGTACGACGTGTCCGAACTTGCTCGTGTTGCTTGACCGCCTTGTCGTCGTTATTCTCGATTGTCGTCGCCGGTGCGGTTGGGTGTTGTATGGGCAAGGGGGGAGTCAGCGCTTCAGCTGGCCATGTCGAGGAGGAACGTGGAGGTGGTGGACTTGCTCGTCAATCACCCGAACATACGTCTCAACCAAGGTAGGGTTTCGGAGTGTCTAGTGTCGCTTCTAAGTGGTGAGAGTTTGGTTTCGAGTTCAGTGCGCTTTTCGTTGAACCGGACATTCACCTGTGTGGCCGCCGTGACACGTTGATTTTCATTTTCTGATGCGCAGAGGTTCGGAAAGATTTACGACACCCACTAGCCTTACGAGGAGGTTGGAGTTGTTGATGCGCGCCGACCTTCCTCGGTTAGGAACGCGGTCTGGAATACTCATGGGTAGACCTGGGGAAACACCTCGACAAAGACGTAGTTGGAGAATGCATGGTCACCAATCAATGTGGCAGGTAGTGTTTATCCTTCGTGTGCAGCTTCTTCTGACGATGGGTCGAAACAATAGGGCAAGCATGTCCTAACACACGATGATCAACCGTCGAACAAGCACGCCCCCATGAAAATTCGCGGAACCCGCGCCCCCTTTTCAGACCAACCTGGCAAAAGCATTCTTCACGAGGCTGCAGCCCTCGGCCTTCATCACCTGTCCGCGCAGCTGGTGTCTAAGGGCTTGGACATCAACGGGGTCGATCCGCAGAACGGCTGGACTCCGGTGCACTACGCCTGCCACAATGGGTGAGGGTGCCGGTCCGCCAGGCCTCTGCGCCGTCGCATCACCAAACCGATATCGTATCGTTCGCGCGAATTACTTTTCACAATCCCACGCGTACGTTCGCGCCAGCGGTGACCGTTCCAAAGTTCGGATCCAAACCTGAAACACTGCAGTACGACCTACAGCATGGCATGCGCCTGTGGAAGAGTCCAAGTACATTGCAAATTCGAGTTCTTCGCGCAATAAGTTGTTGGCGCCGTCGTGCGGTTTCACTGCCTCCCTACTCTCCCTGATCGGATAGTCCAAGGGTTACTGTTCGGTAGCATCTAAACAGTGCCAAAACCAACGTTATTGTCCAGCTCTGCAGTACATCACTCGTCACAACTGACCATCAATCCCCGACAATACACTACGACGACGATGACTACGACGACGACAACGACCACCGCTGCAGGAGGGATGAGCTAGCCCGTTTGCTCACCAGTAGGTCCGGCACAATGGTAAACGTCGGCGACGCCGGTGGCGTCACCCCTATCCATTTGGCGGCTGCGGGGGGATGGGAGAAGTGCGCAACGAACCTGCTCGAGAACAACGCCTCGCCAGCCGTCAAAAACAACAAGGGGCAGGTGAATTCAATTGAGACCCATCGGAAGTTGTGACGCCATTTTTTGCTTTGCCACCCTTGTGAAGCTCTTGGCCTTACGTACAATCTTCTCGATCGTTTCTAGAATGAATCAGCTTTTCTCTCTGCTGCATGTTTGACAATGTATGTTGGCCGACTTGTTCACCCTCAAGTCAAAAACAGGATGCTTTGTTGTGTTTCATCCGAAGCACGTCGTAGCCTGACCCAAGTGTTTTTTTGTTTGGCTTGCGATGGCATGGTGGACTCCAAAAGAGATGGACATCACCCATGAATAGTTCATCTTGACGTGTGCCAACCTCAATTGCACAAAGAATATGCTGATTGATCCCCTACTTGAAAGTACTTAGAAAGTAAACCTTAAATGTGTGTGGGAACGATGAACGGAGCCATAAGACGGTATGAACTTCATCGAAACCGCGTTTGCTCTGTGTAGGGAGGTGGCGACCATTGAACGATCGATGCCTAGTTTGGGCCGTGGTTGCTCGATATTCCTCATCCGCTGGTGCCACCCGGACACGCCCCCAACACAACACGACACGACACGACACAAACCCATCAGGTCCCAGCCGTTGTCGCGATGCTCCACGGCCACGCGTCCACCGGAAAGAAGCTTCTCCAAGCCTTCTCGGCGGCGAAGACGGCCTCTAAGCGCTCCCGAACCATCGACGCTTTCGCAGCGGTGGCGATGGCATCGGGCGTCACACACGCCGTCAAACCGGTGGTCGACGCCGCCGACAAAGACGAAAACCGAAGGTAGGGCAAGAGTGCTGCACTTCATCCATGTCAACGACAGTAGTAGCAAGTAGTTGGACGCTCATGTAGCACGTTTCCGATTCACGTAGACTTGGGTGTGTCGCCACGGTACCCGCAAATAAATGGAACGAAGACATGACACCGTGAGGAGAGAAGCATAAGTTTGCGGAATTGCCACCATTCCCAGCCATACTCGCGAATTCATCACCAGGAGCAGCAGTACAGATAGCCATGCCGACCGACGGAGGCAGTGTTAACAGCATCGGCTTCACCAGTAGCCGCGGGTACAACAATTCCCAATAGTGTTTAGTTTTTCGGCGAGGGGATCAGATTTCATATCAGCTCCAAAGACTGAGCGTAGACAGTTTGTGTGCTGGAGTGACCTGGTGGTCTCTTAATAGTGATGCCACCAAGGAGGCATTGAATGGCGTACCACTTGACGTTCGACGGTGCTCCTCCTAGCTGCGAAACATCTGCAGCATTTCCGGTGCTGGTACTGAGATTGCCCGAACTTGAAACGGCCCTGACAAATATCGTTATTTGTAAATCTCATTGCTCTCCCTCATCCGTCGAATGACATTGAAGACAATGACAATATTTTATGACAGTGGGCTCTCCCTCCCATCCCCCTGGCCCAAACACCACCCTTCCCACCCAAGCGGCAGTGTGGGCAGTGGCCTCGGGGGGCGGAGGATGTTGCAGCTAGCATCCGCTGCTCTTGCCGCGGACGCGGCTGCCGCTGCTGACACTAGCGCTCAAAATGATGCGAGTGGCGGGGGGCAAGGGTCAGAGAAACCTGGGGCTGCGGGGGGGGGTGGCGTGGGTGATGGTTTCGTCGGCCTTGAAGGAATCACGATCCCGGAGGTGGCAACAGCAGATGTCGCCGAGTCTGCTGTTGCTGGAGAGGGGGGCAGTGGCCACAATACCCTGGACGATACGGGCAGTGCCCGTGGCGATCGTGGTTTGGGGGCGGCGGACCGGGGCGGGAGTGAGTTACAAGACGGCAAGCCTCACTGTGCTACTACTGTCGGCGAAAAAATAGAAAGTACGGGCAGCGACGCTGGCGTTGACGGAGGTGGCCGCGGGGGCGACGCAGTGTCGGTGCAGAGTAACGCGAGCTCGCGGGCATCTGCGTCGCTGGAGGCGCTCAGCAAACGGGCCTCGAAAGCCGGGGTAGCGGTGAGAGAACGAACGATAGGTGTCGGGGGAGGGTACGCGCACACACGAACACAACAGGAGTGATGGTTGGCCCCGCTAAGGCTGTCGTCGTTGGTCATCGCCCAGCATATATATATGTAGTGAACATCACGAAAACTGGGGTGGATGATTCTCAGAGCTCCTACTGTCCGAAACGCTTGAGGCATCCAAAATCACAAGATTTTTCGTGGTACAAGCGATGGCTGGCCGTGAAACATGATGAGGAACGACGCAACACATGGCCTTAAACGACATAGTATGGTGTGACAAAATTTTGTATGTAGTAATAGAAGTGCGGCTCGATACAGATTGATAGATGGCCAACTGGACATGGCAGTCTAGCTCAGTATGATGATGCGCGCAAGGAATATCGTATGGAATGTGACCTTCGATTCGATGCGATGCACCGTTGTGTGATCTGACCAGATGGACCTCAACGCCATCATGTTGGAAGATCTTGTTCCCAGCCACTGGGACGACGATGACATACGGTGAGTTGCGTTGCCTCCGGTAGTGCGGTTCATGCCTATGTCGCCCGTAATGTTCATTTGTTGCCTCGCTGGCCATTTCGGGTATATCGTTTTCTTTGGCTCGGCTCCACTCTGCTTCGCGGCGGGAGCTGCCCTTTCGCGCGTGTAGGAGCGCCGCTCATGCACGATATCTTGCGCGGAGTTGGTACGATGTATGCTAGTTCTACCGTTTCAGGCAATTCCTCCCAATCATGACTTTTGTGTCCTACAGCCACTACTGTATCACGTCTTTCTTTTTTCACGGGTTGGCTGATCTCTGGACCCCTAGTTGTCTATTTCCCCGTGGTCACCGTGCGAATTGCGTGCAACGCCATCCCAGCGCAGTAAGCCCAGAGAATGCAACTCGCAGCATGGCGATGAACCAAGAGCACCGCAGAACCTGGTCGCGGTACTCGTCCCACAAGCCGTACAAAGCACGGCTGCAAATCTAAGACCGAGTGAACTTCCCCCACCGGAGAAGTGCCGCTCCGAGATTTCTTTTTGCTCGATACCCTAGTGAGAGGAGGGCATGGAGGGAGCAGGGGATCTCATGTAGAGATTGATGCTTCCCAGCTTTGTCACTGATTTCCTGTTCGGTTGTTTCTTTTAGACACGGTTTTGTGCCGGGACGCCACGACACTCAGCCGGGGGACGCTAGATCTTGGAGAAACAACACACGGTGATGAAATGAAAAAAGCGGGCCACGGGGTACGACTGAATGTCCGTTTGCATCCTGCTCGGAAAACTAATTAGTGAATTCGTCTGTTCTGCCTTGTCAAAGAAACACAAACTAGGCCCCGCCTTCTGTTCCGCCAGGCCAATTTGTAACGATAAATGGAAAAAAATGCTTCCGGGTGGCGAAGTACAACGCGTTTTCTTGTGGTACTGACGTATCGCTTTCCAGGCTATGTTTGCTCTCCAGCTGAAACCAAAATGGCAACGGGAGTGACACTGATGGCGATCATGCGGTTGATCTACACTTCACCTTGCTCGCAGGTGTGCCGTGGCATTGGCAGAGAGGGGGGAGGCGTGGTGCCTGGCAAGCCTGTTCGCCCTCGGCCTTGACCCCGACTGCCAACACCCCGAGTCCGGTAAGGGGCTTCTATATCTTCCGTTAGACCGTAGGATTCTTTGTTACCGCGAGCAGATGGTGCCTGCAGAAACAAGACCTGAACAAAGGTTGATCAAGATTCCACGACAAATTTCCCACGACAACAAGAAACAAATTTTCGGACTTGCTCGCCGCATCCACCGAATATGACGGACTCGCCCCTTCTCGTAGTACTCATCCCTTTTCAACCCTGACCCATGACGGATTTGTAGGTTGTAGTGTAGACGTCAACACCAACGTGTTCTGAGGCTAGCGTTGTATTGTCGTCTTGTGTACCACACCCCACTCATGCATTTGACGTTGAATTCACTTGTGCTCTTCACATATATGAATTTGTACAGCTTCTATGGACTGCGCAAGTTTTCGAAAGAGTGCACCCTCTCCACCAAACGCACAGGCAGGGACAGGCAGGGAACACTTGTCGACTGTGTTTGTCGGCTGCGTATTCCCCCCGCCCCCAACAAGCAACTGAAACCCCTCTCCCCTCCCTATTACCTGCTGTAATTGCCCCCCCCATTGCACAAGGGGACACTATCGGCATCGCTGCCGCGCGTGGGGGGGACCGTGAGACGCTGGAGGTTTGCCTGGAAACGGGGGTGAACTTCGCGACCAAGAACAGGCGGGGGAGGTAATAACCAAATCACGTGTGTTGAATATCTCCTAGCAAGGCCTGAGTAATAGCTTTTGAGCAGTGAAGGGCGTGGAATGTCCTCGCCCCGTCTGCTACGGTGTGACTAAACGACTTGTCGTACCATCTAGCACGATCCGTCCGTTCGGCGGCGGCGTACTCCCGGTGCCTTATTCCTCTCGTACACCCCGTCTGTTCCGTTCCGTATCCCTTCCGACGGGAGAAAGGATGTATGCCCATATTCTTGGAAGTTGACGTCGCTTACACTCCATTGGTGAAAGAAGCGTTCCGTCTAGCAGCATCTCTGCAGACTCGACCCTGTTTCTCCTTGTTACGAATGCCCTTTACACGAGCTTCTGCTGTTCTTTACTTCACTCGCTCGTACCGTCACAAACTCCATGTATGCTTTTCGAGTGGTGCTGCTGTGTATGCATCACCACGGCTGTTGAGGCGGTCCTTTCGAACTACATTGTGGTTCACACCACGAACAACTATTCTTGTGAAAAAAAATCGAACTTGGCCGAGAGCGCATTTCGAGGGCGGGGGGATAAAGGCTATACTGTACACGCGAACACTGGACACTTCATATGATAGTCCATCTCGCGGCCGTAGAGTGTTCCAAATCACCTCCCGGTATGTGGCTGTTTTCTGGGTGATTAACGCGACAAACCCCGCATCACGCACACTTGTCAGGTCTGCCCTGCACGCTGCCGTGGTGCGGGACGACCTGGAGGTGGCGGCTCTTCTTCTGGCTAATCCAGGCCTGTCGGGGATCGAAGTGGATGATCTTTGCGATCCAGACGAGTGAGCCCTCGTGCGTTCGCTCCTCCTGCTAGCTAGCTAACCTTGTAGCTCTCCGTCTAGGCAGGCAACCGTCACAGGCCCCACCATCCCTTTGCTGTGGCAACAACCAATCGGCTGATTGGTTATGCATTCCCTTGCCCGCCCCCCGTGCACGCAATACACCAACCCACGCCGTACGTCCGTTTTGTCCTGGCACGTTACACCTAGGGACGGGCGCACTCCTCTCCACGAGATGGCCGCCAGAGGGGAAGCCCCCACTGTGCTCCTTCTCGCCACTGAGGCTGACAGCGAATGGACCAACGGAAGCAGCGGCGGTGCGGGCACTGGGTCCGGCAACGCCTCCCTAGACACTCGCTCCGACTACGCGAGCTCTGCGCCCGGTGCGGGTGGCGGCGGCGGCGGCGATGACAGCAGCAGTGGTGATAATTTCTCGTCGTCGTGTGTTACGGCAGCATCTTCGGTGTTTGTCGACGACCACGCCGGTGGCGTCGGAGGCGATAATGGTGCGCGTGAGGGCAGCCGGAGCTCCATTCCCGTATCCGGCGGCGATACTGGGGTTGCCGACGGGAAAGCCGGTGATGGTGCCAAAAAGATGTCCAACGTTGCTGCAGTCGCTAGTGCTGCTGCTGCCCCGGATATGCCGGCGCCATCCTCCGTACGGTCGCCGTTACCCCTATCAGCATTCGCGGCTCCGTCTTTGGCCGACACCGAGGAACTTCGGGACCTCCGGCATCATCATCATGACGTTACAAATGCCGCCGGCAAAGCTGAACGGCCGGAAGGAGTGGCAATTGACACCGGAAGAGCTGGATCTACTTCAACAAGCACCAACGTCAGCAGTAGGATCTCACTTGCCAGAAAGGCTTCCAGCAGTGGAGACACGGGAGACACCGAGCGCAGTGGCGGCAATCATTCCGACTACGGCGGCGGCGACCACGACGACAGCAGCGGTAGAAAGGTCCGAAGCGAAGGAGAAGAGGGAGATGACCCGTCCGGGTGGGGCGGTCTGCTGGAGGTGAACGTCCGGTGCTCTGGATCGGGGAACTGTCCCCTTCACGAAGCGGCCGCTTCCGGCAAGGTCGGGGCCGTGCTTTCCCTGCTCGACCTCGGAGCGGACGTGTCCGTGGCAAACGGATGCGGCGACACGGCTCTTCACGTAAGCGCAATCTTTTGTGTTTTGTTGATGGAAACGTTCGGTGGTTGTTATCCTCGTCCTTGTCCCTGTGCGTGGTCATACGATTGGCCGTCTCTAATACACCACACGCACGTGCTCGTATTCTCCAAAATTCTGGCGCATGTCGTGCCATACCGCAGGTGGCGGTGGGACCCAATGCACCCCGTGACCCGATGGACGAGGGCCACTTGTGGGGATCGACGCTGGCGTCGACATCGCTATCGACCTTGTCGACAACTTCGTCCTCAATGATCGTGGGCACCACTACCGCTACCGCTACCATTTCTGGCGACAGTAGAGGAAGCGGTGAAGCGCAGGATGCGATGGCACTCTGCGACGACGAAGGGAGGGGACCTACCACGCAGGCGAGGAAGGGGCGGCTCGACATTTATCGAAAAGCGACGCTTGCTCTAAGGAAGTCCTCGTGAGGGCAGCGTACTACGGATGATCCTTTTCCCCGAGGATACAATAGCGATCGTCCTTCTTGACACAACGCTGGCGAGTGGTGACGGCCGTCTTGGGTGCGCGCGCCTACCTTCTTCACCCTTCCGCTTTCGCGTTTGTCCTACGCCTCGACCAGTATTCTGAAGCCGCCCTTTCAAGTACCCCGTGGCCAGAAAAAGAGGCCTATATACCATGTCAGACCGACCTTCCTTCGGTGTTGGATTCAACCATGATCCGAAAGACGAACAGTTTTTCATTTGACCCCGTTGGTCGACTCTCAACTCTGCGAGCTTTGGTCCAAGTTTGCGTGTCAGGAACATTAATAACTTGTACATTACCCCCGTTGTGCTGCAACAGATACTGGCGGCCTTCCTTTGGCGAGAGCGACTCGCCCTCCCACGAAATATTCACCAGTACACAAGGCCCGTTGAAACCTGCTTGGAGTTACGTTGGCTCCCTTCCTGTCTCACACATATCAGGTGGTGACGGCTCTCCTCCGGCGAGGAGCTGACCCTTCCAAGAAAAATCGCCTGGGTCAGACGGCGGCTATGTGCGCGGTGCTTGCGGGGCGCGCCGGCGCTCTGCGAGAGGTGTGAACACACAAAAATGCGATTCCAGCAGAGAAACTACTTCATCGCCGAACCGGGAAAACGCGTGGGTGCCAGTGTTGCTAACCGTAGGGCCAAGTAATAACCTGTGTCAGGTGTTCGGCTGGCGTATGGTGGGCGAATCGTCTCGGGTATAACTCACCACGTGAATTTATCAGTTCTGGGATAGTATTTTTAATATGTTCACAGTCTCTCCATATATAAAGACTGTGTCGTGAGTGCACTACGGTGCCGACCTCCTACAACGAAACGCCAACTTTCAGCGTGGCTCAAAGTCTTTCAGTGTCTAACGACGAGGCACAGGCTAAGGCAAATGCATGTCGTGCTTCTGCAAGAAGCCTGCGAAGGTGGGCACGTGCAAACTGTTCCAGGTGAACAAATATGTGGTAGCTCTCGACACCGCAATGGAACTCGAGACGAAACAGAAAGTTGGCTGTATACGAAATGTCAAGACGCTGTATCTCCGCCGAGCTCTCTTACTCCACAATATATTGTGTGAAACTTGATACTATATGGACCTTATTCTTGGCGTTGACGGTGGTCTTATGGATAATTCTTGCATACTTCTCATGGGCCCACTGACGCACCCTTGAACAAGCCACAGAACATTTCAACGGTACCCATCACTTTCTGTTTTTCAGATAAGGAAGGCTGTGCTTCTTGGGCATTCAAGCAGCAAGGGCAAGGAGCATGAGGAGCTGTCCGACCTCGGGCACATAGCCATCCGCGAGGGCCATGTCGCGTGCCTTCGTGTTCTCACCGAGAGCTGTAGTGAACAGGTAAGGCTGCATCAGCCAGAGGTTGGTGATAGTGGTGTTGGCATCTTTTCGGGCTTGTGTCATAGCTGCCTGTTGTCAGTGGTTTCTTGTTTACCTTCTGTGATTATTCCGCTGTACTCCACGAAACTTGCACCATTTCTTTCAATATTGCGACCAACACCAACGACAACGACGACGATGTCGCCGATAACGACTACAACAACAACAACACCAACAATGACAAGGAGGTCCTGGCTTGGACAGATGAAGAGGGGGTCCCCGCACTCGCCCTAGCGGTGGCACGTGGCCAGCACGAGTGTATTGACATCCTTCTCAAAGGTGCCAGCCCGACAACGCCCTGCGGAGGTGATGGCGGCAGTGGCGGCGGAAACACGGTGCTGCACGTGACAGCAATGGCGCGTGGGGGAGTCCCGGTGCTGAAGAGGCTCATGTCTCCCAAGGGGGGAGGGGAACCGTTCGACGTGGGGTGGCTGGAGTATAGGAACGGGTGAGACGTGATTGCTACTCTTTTCAGTCCATTGCCACTGCGTGTTACGAGGTAGAAACCGTGCGAAGCTTTCTGTTTTGTGGGTAGCCATTCCGTTAGGTGGACCAAAATACTTCTGGCAAGATTTTGCGCGAGGAAAACTCGTGCATCCTGCCTTTGGGGCTCGTGGCCTTCCGGGGCCTAAGAAACCCAATATGTTTGGCTTGCTCTGTCCATACCGATGCTTTCGGGCGATGTGTACAGGAACGACCATCGAAAATATTCTCCGTCGTCTTCTGCCCCATTCCGATGTTCCATTGGGTACCATCGCCGCTGTAAGGCGCACAGACATTCGCGTGCTGGCTTATCGCCCGCCTTGCATCAACCAACAATGAACCAACAATATCCCCTCCCCTCCCTGGTATACCCCTCTCAACCGCTTCGCTGACGTGTCGAAAACAGTTTGGGGGATACCGTCCTCATGGCCGCATTGAGGGCGGGAAGACACTCAGCTGCTCTGCTACTGCTTAAGGCGCTCGCAGTGCCCACTGCGGCGGCTCACACTTTCCGCTACGCCTGGGTTATCGCGGCCGCACTAAGGGTGAGTCGTCGTTGTCGTTAATGGCAATCTATTTGCTGCTGCTCTGTGGCAACCCTGCTATTAAGCTACGCAGCCAGTGTATAGCTTATATTGATCTACTTAATACGAGCGTAGAGTGCCCTTGGTTTCAATCATCAAAACATTCTATTTCTAAGCTGTGAAATCAGCCAGGTATGGTACGGATGTGCGACAAACATGACCGGGGAAACGAGAGCTCGTCCTAACCTGAGGCCCCGGGTAGCACCTTACATTGAATTATTGGCAAATGTGAAGGGCAAGACAACAGCTACAGCTTTTCGGAGACGTACCGAAGAAACGAAAGCTGGAGTATTTGGGGGACCCAAAACCAGCTGGCTGTGCCTATGCCCGGGAAAAATGAATGGGCACTCGGAACTTTTTCCGGGCTTTCAATCAATCTCTACATTAACATACTGTAACAAATGATATACTGCTGCACGACAGATCACAATCCCTTCTCCCAGCCGCTCCTTGATGACACTCCTACGTCGTGCCGTTTCCCGTGTCTGCTGCGTGCTTGGTTCCTCATGATACGCTGCAGTTGTCGGAGCTGTGCCCATGTCCTTCCTGTGTGCTAGGAAGAACGGCGGACGAGAGAGCGCGGCTGTGCAGCAAGATCGCCCCTAAGCCAACGCGGCCGGGAGAACAGCCCCAGGGCTCTCACGCCAACCCACTGAGCAGTGCTGGAGCATCCGCGTCTGCTGCACACCGTCGGCTTTCAAGGGCCAACTCCATCGCTAGCAAAGTATGTCAACAGCAGCGTGGTATCGTGCCGATATCTATCGTAGCAGTCTAATCAGGAAGTGTTCCACCTAGCCACATAGGAAGTGCAAGAAGATTAGGAAGCGCGGACCATGCTGTACAGACCCTCGCACAATTTTTTTGTCTGAACGGGTTTCGCCGGGTCTTGGTGTATTTCTCTGCCTGGCGCCAAGGCATGCAAGCATTAACATTTTGCTTCTTCGGAATATCATATGCTACAATTTTTGTGGTACCAACAGGTGTGCGGGGGCCCTACTCGTTGATATACGTTGGCCATGGGTAGGCCGGCGGTATCGTTATTTTGAAATATTGTGTATATTGCCCTATAGCTTGCGGGGGGTCGGCCGATGGAACAGGCATGCTACACAGGTGGCCAGGTCCCGAAGTAGGCAAGTATTCCCGCATCTCGGAGAGTGGGGTTATGCCAACTTACACGGTGGTCTGGCGGCATTCTGCTGACAAAAAATGTTATCGAGGTCAATCCCGTTCGCCCAAGCTCCTACCCAACCCTTGGCAGGTTATGGTGGGTGCCCAACCTCGACCTCTGGCCACCCATGTGCGTGCGTGCGTACCGTACGTGTACAACATACCGTATATGACACAAGATAACACACCCCCTTGACCGATTTTCGAAGCTCGATTTCTCAACTGTCGGAACAGTCACAGCGCCGAAAATGGCGGCCTTGAAACCGTCTCGTCGAGAGCTTTTCGAAAATATATAGTTTCGTTTATGCATCCTCTTTGTCGTGGAGTAATCGAGCTTTGAAAATCGGTCCAGGGGGTGTATTATCTTGTGTCGTATATTATACACCCTGTGTATTTCTGTCCAAACCGAAACCAAACATATTCCCTTCACATGAATAACCGCATATCGTGGTTGTCCCTACCGCATACAAACTTACGCTACGCTGACTTCCGCGTGCTACCCCGTGCCCATCGTTGTATCCATCGGTGCATCCAGGCCGGCGCTTCCCAGAGGAATTCTCGAGGCAAACCAGCAGGGTGAACCGAGCGAGGAACAGCCTCCGCACCGACTACAGAAGTTACTGTCTAAATCCGCGCTGGCGGCGACTTACAGCAGCTTACACTGCTATGCACAGCAGTTGTCTGCAATATCAGCCCTCCATTTGAGCGTCTTGTAGCATAACAGTTCTGAAACGTCAATTGCCTTCTGGAACAGCTCCCACTTTACATAAGACTCGAAGTGCGCCAGGCACCCCCTTCCCTCCGTGCAATTGCATGATGAACATGTGCAACCTGGGCGTAGAACATTTGACGCGACAGTTATCTCTCTCTACACTTGTGCATACCAGGAAGTAGCAAGTCGTATTGCATCTGTAGTGATGGGAAGGTGTCACCTGTAGCGCGGTGTGACGTGAGCTGGTGGTGGTGACACCGGTCCAGGATTCATGAGCGAACCAATCTTCGATCTTCTCAAGATCTTCTTCGTACCGATCCAGCATGAGGGCCCTCCCCTCCCGTTGTTGACGCCTCCACGGGAGCTCCAAACCCCTGCTCGTTTGTTGCAGTTCGCTTTTTCGTGTGGTTTGTGTCGGAGATTTCGGTCAAACGGTGTGCTCCTGGTTGGCTGTTGGGCGAGACAGGTGCGAGAACTATTAAGCTATAGAGTTGACTCTAGACGATCTTATTGAAGCAATGGTACGAGAAGTCGAAGCGTTATGCACGGCTCGCTCAGAACCGGGTGGCTAGTGTGACCACCACCAGAACACATAACAAGAGTCGCTCTGTCGTTGATGAGGCGTTCAGGCGGGAGTGCCAGTCTTAATCTTTTTCTGGAGCTGGGTGGGTCATTCTGTCATTGTTGGACTCTGATAGTCATTTCTCCTGCATGGTGCACGGAGCAGTACTCTTGCGGCGTCCGCGTGGAGAGTCGCACCATACGCCTCACACAAATTCAAGGGGTGAAAACGCTTTTGGCATCAACAGGGGGGGTGGCGGTAATTCGAATTCAATCGCAGGCGCTGTTGTGTGAACACGCACTTTGGGTGTTAGCTACGGCATCGGTGGATCGCCCAACACGGCCTGCCATGCTAGCCAGTGTTGTCCAGGCTTTTGGTGCACTGCTGTAGATGCAGTTCCATCTCCGCTCTTGTCTCCCGAGTGCTACAGCAACAAGCAGACACGCACGGTGTACACGTGCCCATGGTTCCCTCATTGATGTGGGTGCCGGCCTCCTCTGTGTGGTCGCTTGTCTCATTTCCCATCACAACGCAAAGTCCTGGCGAAAGAGGCAAAAGCCACGCGGCCAGTTGCGTACGGAGACCACCCGTGGCCAGTGCGATTCTGCGCACGTGCGCCCAGCGAATCGCTCTGCGCTGTAAGAACGATTGATTAGCAAGCACGGGGTGTAGACTACATTCACGCCGCCAGGAGCAGACTAGTCTACATGAAATACTTTTTTCTCCTCATGCTTGCTTCGGAACCGCCGTGCCACCAGCGTGGGTTGTGTTGTTGCTGCTGCTGCTGCTGATGATGATGATGATGATGATGATGTGTTCCAGCCAAAAGTCCTTGCCGGGGGGCAACAGGCACGCCACAAGGGAAGGCGTCATCGAAATACTAGATTATTCTCTTCACGTAGAGCCAGTACTTAAACTGCCGAACGGGGGGTAAATGAAGCCGTTCGATTTCACCTGCACCTCTCGGAAATTCAAATTTCAAAATTATTTTCCCTTTGTTCTTCCCCTCGAGTACGATCTCGTTGCAGGGTCAGTAATGCTGTTTACCGTTGCGCCCTAAATATGTAGCGCTGCTTCGTTTCGCTCTCTAGACTCTACGGAACCATTGACACGCGAAACGCAGCAGCAGCATCGCCAGGAACGCATTGTGTTCCATATTGTGTCTTCCGCCTGAACATCGCTGCCTCACACTTCTTTTTTTAGTTCTCCCGCGCACCACTTCGAGGGAGAACAATTCCCGGTCAACGGCATCAAGCACCCTGCTGCTACTGTAATGAGGGGTCTGTCTTTTGTTTTTCCGCGGCGTACAGCGGCAGCTTACTTCCCTGAAGAACCCAATCTAAAAGACCTGCCGCAGCCGATGGAAAAACGTGCTTAAGATGCCGTAACCATGCATACAGCACCACGGGGTGCGTAGTCGTTCCCGCCTCTTGGCACCCACCGCCACAACTTTAGCCATATGGCAGCTGTTTGCATGCGGACCGACGTGAAATCTGAAGCACGCACCCTTTTCACCCACGGAATCTCGGACACCAGGCGGCGACGACAGCTTCAGATGGAGCGCCGCCCGCCTTCGTCGGCCCGGGTTCGAATCCCTGGCGGCTACGGCAACTACCCCGGCAGAGACCCGGAGTCGCCGCCGCAGCAGCAGTCGGACGGCACCTCGGGCGGCGGCGGTGGCGGCGGCAGGCGAAAGAAGCGTGCTCAAGCCCCTTGGGGAGGGCTGTTCAAGGGAAAGGTGGGTCCAACAAGTAGAGGACATGATTGCTCTCCATGTCTTGCGTGTGTGTTTTGACGGCGGGTGCCTATTGGTCTGTGGCACGGTGTGTTCCAGCTGCTACTGCTGTGGGTACACGCGGCGGGGCTTGGCGTGGTTTGGTGGGAGGCTGGCTTCTCACAGGGGAGGAAGAAGCGAAGGATTCAGTCGGACCAGTTGTATTGGAGGGGCGGCTACACAGACAGCGTGACACGCGGTGCTACTCGCGGCTACACAAACTGCGGGGAGTGATGCAACTGTTGTTTTGTGTATCTCATTCCAAGGATAAGAACCGGGACAAAAATTATGATGGATTGTTAGACACGGGGGATGGAGGGAAAGATGCAGCCATCCCATTCGTGCTTGTCAACCATTAATGAGGAACAATTTCTCTACAAGTGCAGTGTTCGGCCGCTCGGACACAAGAAACTACGCAGCGCGGCGACGACGGGGGAATGCGGGACGTTGTGGGGACTTAAAAAATGTTTTTTCTATGCACCGTTTCGCGCCCTAGTCTGCGATGAATCAGTGCCGGTCGGTATCCTCGCCAGGCTCGGCGAACGTGGCCGCTGACATGTCCATGAGCATGCTGCTGTTGCAATTTTGTCGCAGAAGTCAGCACGGCTCGAGTTTATTTATAGGCTTTGAAACACCCAGCCACTTCACGGCGATGTTTCTGACGACAAGATGCGCGATGACCTGTTCCAATCCTCTCTGCTGGTGCTTGTGCTGGTGCTGGTGCTGGTGCCGCTGCCAATATTCCGCATTCGCCCACAAGGAGGACGTAGCGCTGCCGACGGCCCCATGGACGTCGGGGGCCCCGCCGGATGGAAGGAGCGACGAGCCACCACATCAACACCGGCAGCAGCAGTGGCAAAGTCAAATAGAAAGCCAAGCCAAAACGCCGGCGTGGGCAGGCCCCGCCGCTAGCGGTGGGGGTGGGGACCCGGCACCGTCCGGCGGAGTGGGGAGGGGGTACGGCCCGCCACCCCCGGCGGGGCACGCGTTCTCATCGCCGCCGCCGCCGAGACGCCGAGCCTCCCCTCTGGTTGAGAACGCCCCTCGCCTCACCGTCGTTCGAAGGGATGACTACGGCAGCGGTGGTGGGGTTGAGGTCGGGTCTGAAGGCGGCCGTAGTGCGACGGGAGAGGCGAAGAGGACACAGCACCAGCGGCAGCAGCAGCAGCGAGGACCGGTAGGCTCGCAGGTATCACAGCGATCGGTGGGAACGACGCTGTCGTCAGCAGCGGCATCGTCGTCGTCGTCGTCGTCGTCGTCGACCCACGCCGGCGTGTCGAGGTGGGGGTCCTGGGGCATCGGCCGGAGCGGAGGCATTGCCGCCAACGCCGCCAGCGGTGCTCTGACCTCGAACAAGGGTGCGGAGAGGACGGCGCTGCTGGCGTCTGCCAGTTCAAGGACTGGCGGTGGTACCGCTAGCGGTGGGAGCGCCCGGTCGAGTGTTTCTTCGGGAGAACCCCCGGGAGCAGCAGCAGCAGCAGGCGAACGGCCGAGAGCGAGCGGGAGAGGGCCCCCCCGGAGCGGCGAAGGGTTCGCGGCGGAAGGGAGGCCTTCCCCGTTCCTAGTCGCGCGCTCCACGCCCTCCTCCGTCTCCTCCTTCTCCTCCGCCGGCGGCAAGAAGAGATCGACGTGGAGGTCTCCGCTGGAGCAGAGCGCGGTCAACCCATTCTCGGCGTCCTTCGAGACCACCACCGGCGGCGGCGGCGGCGGCGGTGGCCTCCAGAGAGAGAACAGCAATACGTGGTGGGCAGCAGAGACGGGCACCCAAAGTAGACGCCACTTGGCTGGAAACGGCGGCGCCGGCGGTCGGGGGGGCACCGTCGCAAGAGGGGTGGGGGTGTTGTCGGGCGCTGGTCAGCCTCTCTTGCGTCGTGCCGGTGCGGGCGGGGGTTACGGATCTGGGTGGGGGTGGTGGGGGGACGGCGGCGTGGGGGTGATGGGAGGGGGGGAAATCGAGCGCAAAGTTTCATCGGACAGGCCCAAGAGCGCGATTGCGAAAGGGCGCAAGGTTGACGACCAGGGTGAGGCTTGTGCTTTCTTGCCCGGCATGCCTGTGCGCTGCTTGCACCAATAGTACTGTGTTTTATGTGCATGTTGTGTGCTTCCTTGCGTTTGGATAGAACGAGCGAAGCGGGCTGACCAATGAAAATGAGTGACCTTTTATCGCGGGACGAAGAACCCGGGCACCCCTTATAGCTGTCGAGCTCCCCCGGCATGGGAAGGTGTGGAAGAGGTTAGACGATAGGGTCCAGTCTCCAGATGCAGAACGCCGGCAATAGAATAAATCCGTGTGTACCTTTTTTTCTTTGCTTGGCATCCGCCCCGCTAAGCCACTCAAGCACAGGGAAGAAAACGACCGCGTCTGTTTCGCAGGGGATTGTGTCTCTTTCCCCCCAAACGTGTGCTTTGTGGAGCCGTGCTGTACGCGCTTCATGCGAACGTGGCGGGGGAGCATCTACTGTGCTGTCGATTGAAACAGTGGACGGTGTAGCTTGAGGGAGCGTTAGTCACAGCACGGTTGCGAGACGAACAGGACCAAATAGCAGAACCAAATAGACGCTGTTACATTATCTTGGAAACGCACCTCGAAACAAAATCGTGGGGCAGTGGTTGTAGAACCGCAGCAAATACTCCCGACGCACGAAACGGCTGCTACTGTTGCTGCCTCTGCCACGCCGCTGCTGCTGCTGCTGTTGCTGCTGTGGCTACTGCCGCTGTTGTGACCTACATCGACCGCTCGCACACGGCAGCTCCATCGTGAGTCTCCCAGCCGCACCGGGTGACGGATAAATGAAACCGCAAGTAGCAGGGCGGGGATCTTGTTGCCGGCACCCCCGCTCCCCCCCCAATCCGTCCGGCAACAAGTTACATTCCTCCCCCCTGTGTTGCGTTTTCGTGACACTGCTCTTTCGACTTTGGATTTTTCACACCGCATTTCCCGCGTGCACCTCAGTTGCAATCCTTTTCGTCCTGTGCTCCGGACCGCCGCCTGTTTTGACACGTTGAATGACGCATGTAACAAACGAAAACGAAACAGGTCGCCAGATCTTCTACAAGCACGGCGTGCGGCTGGTGGAGGCGGCAGAGATCCAGCTCGAATCGCTGGGAAGCCCGGCCACCTACGCGGTGTTCATCCTCCCTTACCTGTGAGTCACACACACACACACCCGCCGCTCGCCGCGGTATGCGGCAGTGGCAACACACGCGCCTTTCTCCTTACTTGAAAGCCAAAACGTTTTGTCTTGTGGCCGATTCTCGCTCACCTGTGTTGGCCCACCAAAGGTGAGGCGTAGCTTGCTGTTGGGGCAAGGCTGCTAGGGCCTCAGAGTAGCGTATGACTCGGTGGCTGCCACGGCTCGACGCAGTTCTGGCCGCCACGCAGAAGCGGGACGCCTCCTCCTCGCTGCTGTGAAACCAGCTGCCTCTCTGTCATTTTTGTGGTCGTCGTGAGGCGCTGCTTCCTGTCTTGGTGCGAGGACCGGGAAGATGACGGTTGGCTGTCTTCTCGAGGGATTGCCGAGGTAGACCGCCCGGAATGGATTTCTATTGCCGATGCCCGTTCGCGTTTCGCTATGCGGCGGAATCAGAGCCCCCGGTGTCGTTTACTCCCTTTTTTTTTTTCTATTTTTGGCTGCCTGTTTCTTAAATCCTTCTTGCGTACGCGCGTGGCGCGTTGTTGAGTACCCTCCTACGTTTCCCCTCCGTATCGCTTGTCGGCACCGTACGGTACACTGCACGGCCTCCTAATCTGTTCCGACGTTTTCGTCCTGTGCATGCCTCCGCCCGCGCGCGACACGGCCCAAAGGCTCTTGGCTCTGGCGTTGTGGCTTGATATGGGGAAGCTAGACGTGACGCCACGCTTGTACCCGCCGTCGGGTAACGCCTGCGACGACTCCGGGGTTTGCAACTGGAATGTCACGGGCGCCCCCATCCACAACAGGTTGGTAATGCGTATGTATCCAGGGAGAGCGGGAAGCGGGGCCCTGTTGTTTCTACCCCGCATGTGTGGAAAAAAATTCCTCGCGTGGAGAAACAACATTTTTTTCTGAGGCCACTTGTTACGCTGTCTCTTTTTGGGCGGTCCCTTTTCTCAAAAAGGGACAAAGTTGCCCAAAAAGGGACAGGATGGGGTGATCTTTTTTCGCTGTCCCTTTTCGGGAGGTTCAAAAACGCAAAAAAAGACCACGTAACAAGTGGTTTTTGGTCAGTTGTCCCTTTTTGAGAAAAGGGACAGCCCAAAAAGAGACAGCGTAACAAGTGGCCTGAGTACCAGGTGTGAGTTGTCATTTTCAACTCTTTTGTCCCGCACGGTGGCGTGAATTGTTAAGGAACTTGCGCCCAACCGCTCAACCATGTTCTACGTGGTATGAGAGCAATGTTGCCCGCGCGATGGGTGTGCGATTTTTTTTTCATCACTTTACGTAAGCGCTCGCACCCACGGGGCATTATTGCGCCCCGAATTTTTGCAGTTGTCGGTGCTCTGCCGGCTTTTTTATGCGTAGCCCGCTCGGCCGCCGTACTGTTCGGTCGGCGCTGTCCCCGCTTTACCGTCTTGTTGTGCTCGTCGCGTGCGGCATACGATCGAAAATTTTATTGTTTAGCGGTTGTCTCGTGTTTTCACCAAATTTCATGACAAGTGACGGCTTATTTCCGTGAGGCAAAACGTAGACCCAAGCGGTGGCGCAACGTAGGAGTGGTTTGATGGGCCGGTTTACAGCTTCTCACGATACGGTCGAAATCGCACGACTTGTGTTTTCCAGTCGTGCTCTGAGTCAGTACCGACAATGCTGCTTCTCTCTACATCCGACCTCACAAACGGCACGCGTGCTAACCCCATCCTCTCCCTACCTCTCCTCCCTCTCCCCCCCCCTTCCCTCCTTTCTCCTCGATTCCATCCCATCCTCTTCACTATCCGCATGGCCACGGAAAAACAACACGTGCTCTCTTTCGACGCGCAAAAACTGCGATCTCTCTACGCGACTAGCTTTCTTATGGTGAAGGGCGACTTTGACTTTGAAGTGGTCGATGGTCTCGTCACGCCATCACCGTCGGATGGGGTTGCGCCCGGTGTCGGCGAGGTTGACGGTGTAGACGGGCAGGAGGGTGCGGGCGGGCACCGAAGCCGCCGAGGGTCGGCCATCGAAGTTGGTGATGTTGGTGACGAGGAGATGACGGAGGGGCGGAGGAGGGGTTTGATGCTGCCGTTTGGAAACACGGGGGTCCAGCAAGATGCTGACGATGATGTGGAACGGCTTGCCCTGGGGGTGGCTCTTGAGGTGACAGAGAGAGACGAGTTTCATCCACAGCGCGCACGAACACGCGACTTGGACTGTATCGCAGCGTTAGTCCCGTGACCCAAGAGGCTGCACTCTTTCTTGCCGGCTGGCCATTGGAATAGTCCGCCCCCATTCATGGATGCCAATGGCATCGACACAACGTCTTGAAGGGGCTCAGTACGATGGAAATACAAGTCCTATATATATATATATATGTATATTTTTTTTTTTCAGATTCGAGGACTGGTCGGAGGCACGGAGAAGTGGGAGTCCCTGTACAGCTGCGCTGCCCAGGACAACGTGCAGGTATCCGGCGGTGTTGTGTTTTCCTGGTATTTTCGTTGGTCTTTGTACGTGGCATCACCAGCACGTTCGGCAGGTTTCCGGCCTTGTCTCGTCTGGCACCCTCCTCCTCTCCCCCTCCTTCTCTATCTCTAGCTGTCTGTCTATTTGTCTGTCTGTCTGTCTCTCAGTGCTCTGTCTCACTGTCTCTCTGCCTGTCTGTATCTCTGCATCTCTGCATCTCTGTCTCTCTGTCTGTCTCTCTGTCTCGTTCGGTGGTGTTGACGCTGCGCAAGCGCAGTTCTGCGCCTTACATGTTTTGTGCGTCCGCTTGTTGGGATGGGAATAGCATTTGACTGGGGCAGCTGCCACTGAACATGAATTTCATTGAGAGAAAGTCTGTAAAGGAAAAACACCCGTGTTCGCTCGCTTTGATCGTTGGCCGTTTGCAAAACTGGAGTTGTTTTTTTCATCTCCATACCCTCGTTGGTGGTATTTCGTTCTTGAAACATGAGTTCATGTTTTTCTCTGTATGTTTCGAGGTCGACATGACGTCATCGTGTGGGCTGGAATTCAAGATTCCTTCTAAATACGTGGTCATGACGAAACACCACGATCCATGCTTGGCCGCTTTTTTGTTTGTTTGTTTCTGCCGGCCGTAATCAGATCTTGAGTTGCCACCCTAGCGAAATGGAGTGCGACACGTCGACGCTGGGGCGGGTTGTGTTGGACTCGATCGGAATAATCGGGCACCATTCCGAGTATGCCGTGAAGGCGACGATCTTGACCATACAGGTGCAGCATTTACCGCCATGTGCAACTGGACGTTTGATAGATACTTGACGCTTCGCAAGCACAGACTATTGTAAGTTTTACCGCTTGCCGCCGTCACTAGCACACACGTATGTCTTTTCTCCCTGGTGCAGTTTCTTGCGGAAGTTGTCCTCACGGTATTGAGGAGGTTGTGGATTGTGAGACGATCGCCCCAACCTCCCGCCGTTTTCGTGCGTGCTGGGAAACAGTAGGCCTCAGTCGAACCAATGACGTCAAACATCGCCCATACTAGGGCTGTGACGCTGCAGCTAACGCGCTGCGCGATTTTGGCTGCATCGCACACCACACTCTTCCTGTCGTTTACAAGATTTCGGGCACTCAGGTCGTCGTCGCGTGTGCAGCTGTTGCCGTTGCTGCTGCTGCTGTTAGTTTCCTGGTGGGTTCCTGGCTGTTTGGTGCTGCTGGCGGTGGTGTCGCTGTCGGTGTCGCAATGGTTTGTTGTTGCTGCTGCTGCCGTTGCCCGTGCACACACCATTCCGCCAACAACAGGACGGGCAGCCTATTCCAGGAGGTGGCGGTCTTCTAGCGCGGTCAACGACTTTCGAGGTGGAGACGGAAAGCCGCGTCTACTCCAAGGTCCGATCCATGGCGCGCCTTCCGCTGCTCGCCCTTACGGTAAGCCAAATACCCGTCCTACCGTTTCATTCCAATTGTCTACTTGCAGATGAAACTGCATGTGTGTAGACATGAAACTCTCCAAAGCGCCTGTATTTTCGTATTGTACCACTTCGTAGTTAATTTTGGTTTTGGGGAGGACATATCGATCCATGAAACGAAGCGCTGACGCAAGGGACATGCCATACCGTAGGTGCGTGAAGCGTCAACACGTCGTCGGAATGTGTGTTGTCTGCTGGAAAGCAACGAGTAACCTCTGTTCTCTCTTGCGGTGCTAAACGGACGCGGTTCCTCGTCTAACCACCCGCCCGCCGGACTGCCCACAGACCCTCCGCTAAGCAGGGCGGCGGTGAGAGATGCTGTTGATTGTTGCCGTTCTCGTTATCTGCTGCGGCTCGTAGCGCTGTCCGTGGTTGCGACGCTGGGGATGCTTTGTACTCGTTCCGACGGTGCGAAAGATGCCGATTTCGACGCTGATTGATTTGTTTTAGCACGCGAAACTTCCGTTGCAGGCGTTTCTGCTTCTGTACTGGATGACGCGAGGGTTCGGCGGTGCCGGCGGGGAGCGAGACCCGGCCCCGTCTGCGATCGTGCCGGAACGACGCTACATCACGGTGATGCAGGAAAAAGACTACGACTGCTTCTGAATATCTTATCTGGTAGACTAGAGGGAGGGGTAGAAGCTAGAGGCAACGCAACCAAGGGGGAGGAGTGTGAGGGCTGGAGGGGCTACGGTACGTGATCCCTGGATGTGGTTGGTTTTTTGCTCTCCTCTACAACCTGAACATGGTTTGGTCCCTCCGACAGACTGCCGCTGGCGACGTCTGCCCTGTGTATGTCTCTTTTCGGAAGCGGTGAGCAACGCGTTGTGTTGCGACTTCGCCCCCCCCTCCCTGAAGCGTAGCCAACCGCGACCCCCCCCTCGCCCATCCCCTCATCGTAGCCCCTAGACCGGTTACCCTTGGCTGCCTCCTGGCGGTCTGCAGATGTGTTGATGTCAGGTCGCATTTGGAGTTGTCACCAGATGGAGTTGGGATAACAGATGACGCCGGAGTGCGAGGGCGGCATCAACCACCGCAGAGCAAATACTTCGACGTGCAGACTCAGACACAGTCAGAGGGATGGTAAAAGTGTTTGCCCTCCTGCTTTTTTCTTTGCTGCCTTGAATAGAGGTTGGTTGGACCTGCCGAAGATGCCGCACTGATGCAACCCCTCTAGCCGACACATGCGACTTCCAAACGCTGAAGAGATCATGCGATCACCCCCCCCCCTCCTTGGATGGCGTAGATGCTGCTCTTTGGGCTGTTGCTTTGGCAAAACCCCGTGATGGCAGTGGAAGACTGGTTGCTCGGGCCCTCCTCCTTCGACACTGGACCATGGCGCTGGGTGCGGCTATGCAAAGACCTCTGCCAGTTTACCGGCATGCAGGTACGGTGTCCCGAGCTGTATTTCATGCAGTTTTATTTTCTCTCGAACCGACATCTCGCTAGACTGTTTTTCCCTCCCCTCAGGAAGTCGCGAGGAGCCCACTTGTCTCTCGCGAAAAAATGGCTATAAAACCTCTGTTGGCGTCGTAGAAAACTCGTTGCGACTTTGTTTCTGTAGGGGAATGGTCATGGGGTGGGGCATTTATAAGGCTGGCGTCCTGCGAGAGAGAGAGAGAGAGAGAGAGAGAGAGAGAGAGAGAGAGAGAGTTGCACAGCGGCACCACAGCCCGTCACTGCTTGGTTTTCGCGGAGACCGTTGTTGCCACCAGCAGCTTGGCGGACCGGTGCTTAACGGTCTTGTGTTGGAGCGTCTCCCCTATCCTCTAGGCCAGCTCAACACCTCCCGTAGTAGAGACGCCTCCCATTTCCCCTCTTTTGTGCTCTTTGTGACGCAACTGTCGAAAGGTGATGTGGCTGTGCTGGATCTGTCTCATGGATGGGCAGCACTTGATGAGAAAGAGGTGAGACGGGTCGCACAACAAATACGAGTCACTCTCCTACTGTACCGTAAGGGGGTGCAGAATAGGGGTTGCGACGCTGGCTCTTTTTCCTATACTTTAATCCTGTACCAAGAAAGAAAACAACTTTTCCGCCAGGGTTAGGTGTCGCATTCTATTGTCACCAGTAGAGGACACCATGAAGAGGCGTCGTGCGTGCGGGCATGTTCAGGTTTGGGACTGGATCTGAAATATAGAAGGTTTCAACAACCTAATACAGTCCGAAATCTGCGCCGGAACCAAGCGCCATCCAACATTTGTCACAGCCGTGCTCGCCGCCCGGACCTTTAACCCCTCAACGAAGTCTGTCAGCAGTAGCTAGTGGCATCAGCTACTGCAGCTACTGCTGTGAACCCGCAGTTCAGAAGATTGGGGTCAGTGGCGGCGAGCACCGCTGTGACAGTGTTGGATGCTGCTTGGTTCCGGCGCAGGATTCGGACTGTTTTCAGAGGTTGCTGCGACCTTCGATATTTCAGTTCCAGTAGCAAACCTGAATGTGCCAGCGCGCACGACGCCTCGTGATGGTGTCCTCTACTGATGACAGCAGAATGCGACAACTAACCCTAAAAAATCACCTTGCTTGAGCGCCTTCCGTTTGGCTCTTTTGACTAGAATTCAGAATAGTGTGAATTTTTGTTTTGATTTCAAAGGGGGCGTCGGGAGGTACAAGCGTGAAAAGTATGTTTTGAGCAGCCTCTGCTGCCGCCCTGTGCGAGAATCAACGCTTTTTTATTTTCGCGGTGCCTTCCTACTGGTCTGGTGTGTCTGTTGTGCAATTTCTGGTGCTCCTGCGGTTGGTTTCAAAATTAGTCAACATCAACACTCGTCTTCTGCACCCCCTAAATGCGCCCCTTCGAAGGGCCCCCTGTGCTCCCAGGTAGCATTCGTTTTGTAATGTATTTCTTACACGCCATACTCAAGGGGTGATGTAAGATAAAAATTAAAACAGGGAGCTGGGCCAACCCGAAGCTGGCTTCCAGCTGTGGCGGGACCTCCCCCAAGCTCAACAGCTCGCACAAAGAGTTCGTGTCCTTGACCTTTGACTCGAACAGCCCAGCGAACAACCGCAGCCAACCAACAGAAAAATACAAGTCTGTATACAGTCTTTTCGTGCCTCTCTTCACGGATTTTTACATCCGACACGACCCGCACTACCGCTCAATAGGCATGCCTTTATCAGGTAGAGAGCAGCAACGTGCTTCACAACGCTGGCTGTTCCTCTCGAAAGCACTCTCCACGAACATGGGCAAGGTATGGGTTTTGCTCCCAGTGCCATTTTTTTTGTGTGTGTGTGTATTGTGCACATGTTTGTGTTGCGCGGCAGGTCGCAACGATCCGACTCCTCGTTCGACGGAAGTGCCACAGCCGCAGACGTTGCGTACCGGCAAGTGGCCGGAGAGGACGGAGAAGCCTCGGTCGATACGAAAGGGGGTGAATCCGCCGCGTCGCCTTGTTTCCTCAAAGACGATGTGAGTGATGTTGGCTGTGTGGCTGGCAGCTCGTATCGTCGGGCGGTGGGAGGTACAACCTTCCCGATGCAAAAACTCATGCGTGACGATTGTCCGTTCGCATGCTTGCTTACAGTTTTTTTTCTCTCTCTTTGGTCGCTCTTTCGTGTGCTCAGTCGCAAAGATAGCGCGACCTGCTCCCGCTTGCACACCCCTTGGCGAAACCTACGACGTGGTAGAAGTACAGCAGTCTCTATAAGACGGCACAGCGTGCAAGGAACACCGCCGGAGTGTCGGATATCGGCGAGACCCGAGTTTCTTCTATCACTCAGCCGCGTGTGGTCAATGGCTTTGCTCCAGATCGTGCAACCACCGCGAAGAAGCACTTCCCTTCCAAACTGTTGCTAATGTCCGACTCCCCCCCCCCCCCCCCCC